GGAAGGGTCTAGAGCCTCCATTTTTGCACTCAGGTCAAAGTCTCACAGCCCTCTATCATAATCCAGAGTTTTGAGAAGATTGGAGAAACTTAATTTTTCGCCCAAAAATGAAAAAAAACGAAAGGGGTAACACTGTCGTTTTTTTTTTCGGGTCGAAATTTTGAATTTCGATATCTCAGCTCTGGAAGGGTCTAGAGCCTCCATTTTTGCACTCAGGTCAAAGTCTCACAGCCCTCTATCATAATCCAGAGTTTTGAGAAGATTGGAGAAACTTAATTTTTCGCCCGAAAATGAAAAAAAACGAAAGGGGTAACACTGTCGTTTTTTTTTTCGGGTCGAAATTTTGAATTTCGATATCTCAGCTCTGGAAGGGTCTAGAGCCTCCATTTTTGCACTCAGGTCAAAGTCTCACAGCCCTCTATCATAATCCAGAGTTTTGAGAAGATTGGAGAAACTTAATTTTTCGCCCGAAAATGAAAAAAAACGAAAGGGGTAACACTGTCGTTTTTTTTTCGGGTCGAAATTTTGAATTTCGATATCTCAGCTCTGGAAGGGTCTAGAGCCTCCATTTTTGCACTCAGGTCAAAGTCTCACAGCCCTCTATCATAATCCAGAGTTTTGAGAAGATTGGAGAAACTTAATTTTTCGCCCGAAAATGAAAAAAAACGAAAGGGGTAACACTGTCGTTTTTTTTTCGGGTCGAAATTTTGAATTTCGATATCTCAGCTCTGGAAGGGTCTAGAGCCTCCATTTTTGCACTCAGGTCAAAGTCTCACAGCCCTCTATCATAATCCAGAGTTTTGAGAAGATTGGAGAAACTTAATTTTTCGCCCGAAAATGAAAAAAAACGAAAGGGGTAACACTGTCGTTTTTTTTTTCGGGTCGAAATTTTGAATTTCGATATCTCAGCTCTGGAAGGGTCTAGAGCCTCCATTTTTGCACTCAGGTCAAAGTCTCACAGCCCTCTATCATAATCCAGAGTTTTGAGAAGATTGGAGAAACTTAATTTTTCGCCCGAAAATGAAAAAAAACGAAAGGGGTAACACTGTCGTTTTTTTTTTCGGGTCGAAATTTTGAATTTCGATATCTCAGCTCTGGAAGGGTCTAGAGCCTCCATTTTTGCACTCAGGTCAAAGTCTCACAGCCCTCTATCATAATCCAGAGTTTTGAGAAGATTGGAGAAACTTAATTTTTCGCCCGAAAATGAAAAAAAACGAAAGGGGTAACACTGTCGTTTTTTTTTTCGGGTCGAAATTTTGAATTTCGATATCTCAGCTCTGGAAGGGTCTAGAGCCTCCATTTTTGCACTCAGGTCAAAGTCTCACAGCCCTCTATCATAATCCAGAGTTTTGAGAAGATTGGAGAAACTTAATTTTTCGCCCGAAAATGAAAAAAAACGAAAGGGGTAACACTGTCGTTTTTTTTTCGGGTCGAAATTTTGAATTTCGATATCTCAGCTCTGGAAGGGTCTAGAGCCTCCATTTTTGCACTCAGGTCAAAGTCTCACAGCCCTCTATCATAATCCAGAGTTTTGAGAAGATTGGAGAAACTTAATTTTTCGCCCGAAAATGAAAAAAAACGAAAGGGGTAACACTGTCGTTTTTTTTTCGGGTCGAAATTTTGAATTTCGATATCTCAGCTCTGGAAGGGTCTAGAGCCTCCATTTTTGCACTCAGGTCAAAGTCTCACAGCCCTCTATCATAATCCAGAGTTTTGAGAAGATTGGAGAAACTTAATTTTTCGCCCAAAAATGAAAAAAAACGAAAGGGGTAACACTGTCGTTTTTTTTTCGGGTCGAAATTTTGAATTTCGATATCTCAGCTCTGGAAGGGTCTAGAGCCTCCATTTTTGCACTCAGGTCAAAGTCTCACAGCCCTCTATCATAATCCAGAGTTTTGAGAAGATTGGAGAAACTTAATTTTTCGCCCGAAAATGAAAAAAAACGAAAGGGGTAACACTGTCGTTTTTTTTTCGGGTCGAAATTTTGAATTTCGATATCTCAGCTCTGGAAGGGTCTAGAGCCTCCATTTTTGCACTCAGGTCAAAGTCTCACAGCCCTCTATCATAATCCAGAGTTTTGAGAAGATTGGAGAAACTTAATTTTTCGCCCGAAAATGAAAAAAAACGAAAGGGGTAACACTGTCGTTTTTTTTTTCGGGTCGAAATTTTGAATTTCGATATCTCAGCTCTGGAAGGGTCTAGAGCCTCCATTTTTGCACTCAGGTCAAAGTCTCACAGCCCTCTATCATAATCCAGAGTTTTGAGAAGATTGGAGAAACTTAATTTTTCGCCCGAAAATGAAAAAAAACGAAAGGGGTAACACTGTCGTTTTTTTTTTCGGGTCGAAATTTTGAATTTCGATATCTCAGCTCTGGAAGGGTCTAGAGCCTCCATTTTTGCACTCAGGTCAAAGTCTCACAGCCCTCTATCATAATCCAGAGTTTTGAGAAGATTGGAGAAACTTAATTTTTCGCCCGAAAATGAAAAAAAACGAAAGGGGTAACACTGTCGTTTTTTTTTCGGGTCGAAATTTTGAATTTCGATATCTCAGCTCTGGAAGGGTCTAGAGCCTCCATTTTTGCACTCAGGTCAAAGTCTCACAGCCCTCTATCATAATCCAGAGTTTTGAGAAGATTGGAGAAACTTAATTTTTCGCCCGAAAATGAAAAAAAACGAAAGGGGTAACACTGTCGTTTTTTTTTTCGGGTCGAAATTTTGAATTTCGATATCTCAGCTCTGGAAGGGTCTAGAGCCTCCATTTTTGCACTCAGGTCAAAGTCTTGTGGCCCTCTATCATAATCCAGAGTTTTGAGAAGATTGGAGAAACTTAATTTTTCGCCCGAAAATGAAAAAAAACGAAAGGGGTAACACTGTCGTTTTTTTTTCGGGTCGAAATTTTGAATTTCGATATCTCAGCTCTGGAAGGGTCTAGAGCCTCCATTTTTGCACTCAGGTCAAAGTCTCACAGCCCTCTATCATAATCCAGAGTTTTGAGAAGATTGGAGAAACTTAATTTTTCGCCCGAAAACGAAAAAAAACAAAAGGGGTAACACTGTCGTTTTTTTTTTCGGGTCGAAATTTTGAATTTCGATATCTCAGCTCTGGAAGGGTCTAGAGCCTCCATTTTTGCACTCAGGTCAAAGTCTCACAGCCCTCTATCATAATCCAGAGTTTTGAGAAGATTGGAGAAACTTAATTTTTCGCCCGAAAATGAAAAAAAAACGAAAGGGGTAACACTGTCGTTTTTTTTTTTCGGGTCGAAATTTTGAATTTCGATATCTCAGCTCTGGAAGGGTCTAGAGCCTCCATTTTTGCACTCAGGTCAAAGTCTCACAGCCCTCTATCATAATCCAGAGTTTTGAGAAGATTGGAGAAACTTAATTTTTCGCCCGAAAATGAAAAAAAACGAAAGGGGTAACACTGTCGTTTTTTTTTCGGGTCGAAATTTTGAATTTCGATATCTCAGCTCTGGAAGGGTCTAGAGCCTCCATTTTTGCACTCAGGTCAAAGTTTCGTGGCCCTCTATCAGAATCCAGAGTTTGAAAAAAAAAACGAAAGGGGTAACACTGTCGAACACAAAGTGGTACCCCTTTCGTTTTTTTTTAGGTCGAAATTTTGAGTTTCTCCAATCTTCTCGAAACTCTGGATACTGATAGAGGGCCATGAGACTTAGACCTGGGTGCAAAAATGCATCTAGACCCTTCCTGAGCTGAGATATGGACATCCCACTTAGCATGGGATAAATGCTATGTGGGATCTCAATATCTCAGCTCAGGAAGGATCTACAGCGTCCATTTTTGCACTCAGGTCTAAGTCTCTTGGCCCTCTATCAGAATCCAGAGTTTCAAGAAGATCAGAGAAACTTGATGTCATGTTAGTATTTTTAAAAAATAGTGGGTTATTGGACAAATAGTGAGTTCGTGGGACGGGGGCGTGTCCGGGGACTCGTCTGATGCACACAGGAAATGACTCTAACATGAATGCATTGATTGATTCTTAGGTTTGTTTTGTTATGAATAAACAAATGTGCAATATATAAAGGAAAAACCTTACGATTAAAGTTGTAATGTTATAATGTTCGAATTTTTGTTCTAAAAAAAGAAAGATGCACACAGAAAATGACTCTAATATGACCAGATTGATTGATTTGAAGATATTTAGTTTGTTACAAACAATGTGCAATCTGTAAAACAAAAACCTCAAAATTATAGTTGAAATGGTATACTGCTGGAATTTTTTTGACCTTGAGAAAAAGCTTAAAGTATAGACCAACAAATTTTATGTTTATTAGTTTATTTCAAGTTGGTACATTTTTGGGAAGTACACCTGTTTTGACCTGATGTCCATTGGAATGGACAAAAGAAATCACAATGAAAGCAATTATATAAAAAAAAAAAAATTCATTTGTTTTCATTTATAGAAGCCTCATGAGCTGGGAAAATGTACTTTTATATTTTTCAGAAACTTGAAACATAATTCAGGTCTGAGGGGGTTAAATCCAAAGACTGCCAATTTAGCACCTAAACACAATCTTTTGGAGAGAAATGCAAACAGAATTGACATCAGTAATAATGAAATAAACCAAACACAACCGTTCTGCGTTAGAAAAGAGGCTTGACTGGCATTAAGCAAAATGTTTAATTTAATAATCATTTTATTTAATATTAACAAATAAGCAATGATTCTTACCAACAACAACAACAAAATCAACGTAAAATTTTTTGGGGGGATTTTACAAAATACAGTAATTTTTTTCTTTTTTTACAACTGTAAAATCTGCAATTTATGACCGTAATGCTTGTTAATTTAAATATTCTTTATTAAAAATTATATTTAGTTATTCTTGGCAGGAAAATGCAAAACATTTAAATGGTCCTGAATGACTTGATTTTCTTTAAGCAAAACCTTTTTTTCCTTTTTGTTTTGACGTGTACCAGATAAAGTTATGGATAAAGAAAGTCCACATTAAAAACAACTGACATGAAAGGCATCATCAGCTCTTAGTTTCGACTTAATATCTCTTTATTTAATTAAAGAACGAAACAAGAAAACCCAATTCACATTGATGTGATCTAGTTAGTTAAAGTCAACAAAAAGAAAAGCATTAAAATGGCTTGTTCTAAACCTGAAAACAAGCAAAGATATCTATGGGAAAAAAAGTTCTCAGTTCAGGACAAATCTGAAGGAAATCTCTAAAACGATCCCTGTTGAAGTTCGTGTGAGCGTCACACTTGGCGTGGGTGAACCGTCCCTGTTCTTGAGGTGCAGGTTCAGTCCGTGCGTTTGGCAGGAGTCCTGATCCACTGAGAGCGGAAGCGTCTCTCAAACCCGTGCGCGGTCCAACACCTTCACAGATCACAGATCCACGACTTTAGAACTGACGCTCAATCATTTTTAATCGCAATATTTTACAGAAATTTTACTGTCTCAAGAATTTTTCTGGGTATATGTCACAGTTTACTTTATTTAGCTTTCCTCACTTACATGTCCTGCACACACTAGCAACAAATATCAAAAGTGATATCTTTTCTGCTTTGAGTGTAGTTGATATAAACACACACACACACCTGTGTCTTCAGTTGCCCTCCCAGGCGTCTTCACGCTGCTTAGCGGCCAAACGCTTTTGCTCTGATTACAGAAACGGATCAAATAAATCCCTCTGTTTTGAATCTTTCACAAATGTATTTACAAGTCTAGCCAATAAAAACACAGCTGAGAACGATCGTGTCACCTTTGGCTTGCCGTAGTTTGTTCCTCTCGGCCTCTCGGTCCTCCTTGGTCTGGTTGCTCTTGACGCCCAGAGCGCCGATGACCAGCCGTCGGGCCAGAGCCGCACTCGTCTGAGGACGCTCTTTAGCCGGCAGCAGGTAATCTGCACACACACACAGCCGTGAGGACCACAGGTTCAAGAAACAACTCGTTACATTGAGATTAATACACAGGAACAGTCACATGAGAGACGGAGAGTAGTACCGGAGCAGCTGCGCGCCTTGGCTTTAGTGGCGTTTGATGATTTGGAGAGAGGCCTGACCTTCATCATGGGGTTCTTCATCCTCAGAGCATCACGAGCTACACACACACACACACACACACACACACACACAGTTATAGGGGAGGGGGGTAAGGAATGTGTAATTGGTGTAATTTAAGTTCTCAGAGAATAAGCTGGATAAGTATTGAACATACATTAGCTAGCGGTCGATTAAGTGATTTCTTGGAAACACTGTTGATATTTGAAATCGACACCCAGACACACTCCCTCTTACCTGATCATAACCCTTCTTTTCCAGTGTTATTCCTCTGACCTTTTCTATTTTGCTAATGTCAACCATCTCTCTTTCTACAGTCTTCAAATCTCCCCCTCCTCCCCCATCATTAGTGGACACGCCCCCTCCTGCTGATTGGCTCACTCTCTCTCCTACCCCATCATTAGTGGACACGCCCCTACTGCTGATTGGCTCACTCTCTCTCCTCTCTCATGAGTGGACACGCCCCCTCCTGCTGATTGGCTCACTCTCTCTCCTACCCCATCATTAGTGGACACACCCCTCCTGCTGATTGGCTCACTCTCTCTCCCCCATCATTAGTGGACACGCCCCCTCCTGCTGATTGCCTCACTCTCTCTCCTACCCCATCATTAGTGGACACGCCCCTACTGCTGATTGGCTCACTCTCTCTCCTCTCTCATGAGTGGACACGCCCCTACTGCTGATTGGCTCTCTCTCCTCTCTCATGAGTGGACACGCCCCCTCCTGCTGATTGGCTCACTCTCTCTCCCCCCTCATGAGTGGACTCGTCCCCTACTGCTGATTGGCTCACTCTCTCTCCTCTCTCATGAGTGGACACGCCCCTACTGCTGATTGGCTCTCTCTCCTCTCTCATGAGTGGACACGCCCCCTCCTGCTGATTGGCTCACTCTCTCTCCCCCCTCATGAGTGGACTCGTCCCCTACTGCTGATTGGCTCACTCTCTCTCCTCTCTCATGAGTGGACACGCCCCTACTGCTGATTGGCTCTCTCTCCTCTCTCATGAGTGGACACGCCCCCTCCTGCTGATTGGCTCACTCTCTCTCCCCCCTCATGAGTGGACTCGTCCCCTACTGCTGATTGGCTCACTCTCTCTCCCCCCTCATGAGTGGACACGCCCCTACTGCTGATTGGCTCACTCTCTCTCCTCCCCCATCATCAGTGGACACGCCCCTACTGCTGATTGGCTCACTCTCTCTCCTCCCTCATGAGTGGACTCGTCCCCTACTGCTGATTGGCTCACTCTCTCTCCTCCCTCATGAGTGGACTCGTCCCCTACTGCTGATTGGCTCACTCTCTCTCCCCCCTCATGAGTGGACACGCCCCTACTGCTGATTGGCTCACTCTCTCTCCTCCCCCATCATCAGTGGACACGCCCCGTCCTGCTGATTGGCTCACTCTCTCTCCCCTCCTCATGAGTGGACAAGCCCCTACTGCTGATTGGCTCACTCTCTCTCCTCCCCCATCATCAGTGGACACGCCCCGTCCTGCTGATTGGCTCACTCTCTCTCCCCTCCTCATGAGTGGACAAGCCCCTACTGCTGATTGGCTCACTCTCTCTCCCCCCTCATGAGTGGACAACGCCCCTACTGCTGATTGGCTCACTCTCTCTCCTCCCTCATGAGTGGACGCGCCCCCTCCTGCTGATTGGCTACAAGTGTGTTCTGCTGCTCGGTCTGACTGGTCCAAGCCACTTTGTTGTTTTTGTTTTTATATTTCTACAGCCAGGACTATGAACAGACACAATATTGTTTCAGAACACACAAACACACAGAACACACCTCTAGCAAATAATTAATTTCAAGTTTCAACAGAAATCGTTTCTCAGAAATCGCTAACTGCAAGAAAACGACGCAGAAACAAGTGGTATCATATGTAATATCGCTTACATGCGCATCATAGCGAAATCATATCAAAATAACGTGATCATCAACATTAAACAGCATCATCTTTTCAGCTTTTTTCTCAAAATGTTGCTAAAGGAGTGCATAAAACTAGAACAAAATGTTTTTTTTTCTTTAAAATCAGAGGCTCACTGCTTTCTTTTGATATTTTGCATATTCAGAATCAGATATCCATGCAACACAATATACAGGGGGCCATAAAACTTTGCAAACAAAATGACCAAAAACACCAGCGAAGACTGGCAAATTAAAACAACAACAAAGCCTGGCGGGGAACGAGTTAAAAAAAAAAAAGGAATGGAAGATTTCTAAATCAATATTCAACAATCGATTTGGTAAAGACTATATATATATATATATGAAGAGTTCAGATGCAAAAGCCTCTAAGTGCCATTTGAAATTTTCTTCTAGAATGATCATTTTTATCAAGCTTGTATATTTAAGTTCAGTGATTTCACTTAAATGGCAATGATAATTACCTATTAATTGTTATTTAAGTGAAATTACTGAACTTAAATATACAAGTTTGATAAAAATCATCATTAAAAAAGAAAATTTCAAATGGCATTTAGAGGCTTTTGCATCTGAACTCTTCATATATATATTATATATATAATAAAGCTCCTTTCAGATCATGATGTAAACATTAAAACTGATATTTTTAATCAGTTCAATTTTCACAGCACTGATGCTGTCTGAAGTCACAGAAATTAAAATCATCAACCATTTCCCCACCAGCGATCTCACACACACTGACCTGCGATCGGACTGGAGAACAAGCCCAGAACATGCGCGTCGTCGATCCACTTGATGTCGAAGCCCTTCTGCCTGCAAACACACACATGATTAACACCAGCAGCCGCGTCAGGACCGCCGGATTCATCACCAGAGACTCACGCACTGGAACGAGCTGAAGGATCTGATCAGGTCCTCCGTCTTGAACTCGGACGGAAACTCGTAAATCTCAACGATGTGTGACAGTTCGTCGTCCCGAAGCTCCACCTCTTCATCATCTTCCGGCGACCAATTATAGTAGTCGAAGCGCGGGTCCTGTGCGGTCGCCTTCTTGCGGCCCTCCTCAAGAGACATCTGAAACAGGAAGAGTGTGAATGTCATTATTAAAGGGGTGTGTGGGTTTGGCACAGCTGAATCATCTTTGTAGCTCTTACCTCCTCCATCAAATTGGGGTCGAGACAGTCACCATCATCATTAAACAAAGAATCCCAGTTTTCTCCCTCATCCTCCTCTTCCTCTTCTTCTTCTTCTTCAGGCATCTCCTCATGGTCTTGTGCACTACTTGTGTCTGGTACATTCATAGTTCTGGCTGTGGTGTCTATGGACTCATCTTGCTTGTTTAGGTTTTCTTTATCTCCCCCATCCTGTTTTACCTCTCCGTTCGGGGTCTCGGTCGCTTTGGTTTTGTCCTTCTTGTTCTTGCGGGCCTTGTCGGTGTACCGAGGCCTGGGTTTGGATTTCTTGTCGTCTCCGGTCTGAGGCTTATCTTTGGGGTCTATTTTGTCAGACTGACGTTTTTTGGGCACATAGATCTCCATAGTGGGCTTCTTAGTTCGGGCTGCCGGAGCCGTTTTGGACCCTTCCTCTGACTGGGATGCTTCTGTCTCCATTGGGGTCTGTGTTAGGAAAGTGTGTTTAGAATAGCCTTCTAACTTTGTAACATTACTTTTATGACTTATTTATAAATCTGTCATAAAAGTACATTTCCGAAATAATTATAATTTCCAAGATAATTAATAGACAGTATTTGCAATGTAAAATAAATAGATTAAGTGACAAGAGTGAAGCATACTAGCCTGTTTAAAATGTTGAGTGTTGTGTACTTCAGTGTTTTGCATACTATCTTCAACAACAACAAAAGCGGTGACGTTATTCAGTTCATATTTATAACATAAACACAGGTTTACTGAGCGTAACATAATTCAGAAACCGAAACAACTATGCAGGGCTAAAAGTAACAGCAAAATCTTCCAGTGTCGTATGCTAAGCTTTAGTATCATTATTCGCATTATAATTCTACTTACATTTCAATGTTTTTCAGCTCGCCGATACATTGAAACCATGACCGGATGTTTGGAGACGTAAGGAGGACGTCATGACGCCACAAGCGGAAAAACTTTAGTGGTAGTTGTAGTTTATTAGTGTAGTTTAGGAAAGACGCATGATTGAAAAACATCATTCGGTTTATTATTTTGTTCTTAAACTCCAAAAATCATGACCATACTTATTGTAATCATGATTAAAGAGTATCATATGTTATTTGTACTTTTAATCTGCGTTTTTCAGTAACAAACGCCACAATTCATTTATTCTTAGTAAACACCTACATTTTAAATGAACTATATATGAAAGCATAATTATTTTTTTTATTTAACTAAATTTATTTACAGTCTGTGAATGTAGGATTTGAGTAAAAAAAGTATTTGTTTGTTTTTGTTAACGTAATACATCTGCATGCGTTAACGCCCTCTTTTCTTTTGCTGGTTTGTGATTGGTCGAGCCTCCAAAGTACTCGACAGTGATTGGACAGTCGCTTACACAAGCGCTTGTGTAAGGCGGCTGCATTGAAGTTGTGTAAGGACCGCAAAACAGGATACAAACATCATTTTCCTAGCGTTTGAGTCTCTGGAAAACTCTGGGAGCGTAAGTATCCTTAATAATCCAGCACAATCTGCACGACAAGTGGATATGGCACATTATTATTATTATTTAACAGTCTATTATTTATTTGTAAAGCTGAAATCACGTCTCTCTCTCTTGGGGTGATGGCTTGCAAATGCATTAACAACGTCTCTTATGTCTGCATATATTTTATGCCTGCAAGTTCGTTTGTTTGTTTTCTTTCATGCAAAATGACATATTTGTGCTGCTCTGATTTACATCCTTTATTATTTATTTCTTATAATTTAATTTAATTAAAATTACACTCATTTTCTATGTAAGGAATGTCATTTAGCTTTTTTTATATTAGATGTGATTCATATTGTATATAACTACTGTTATTAAATACTGTTTGATTGACAGGTGAAGATGATGAGGATGTGGTGGGCGTGTCTTCTCGGTTTGGGTCTGTCTGCTCTCTGTCAAGCTCAGCCTATGTTCTCCGTCAACACGGATACAGTTCTGCCTCCGGATGCCCTTCACAACCCCACCCAGCTGAATTATGGGATGGCGGTGACAGACGTAGATGGAGACGGGGATCTGGAGGTGGTGGTGGCTGGGTAAAGAAACTCCAACACACCATTAGTTGTAAATAAAACAGCCATATAGGCCAATATTTATTTATCGCAAATTGAAAAAGGAATGATATTTTCCTCAAAGGTAATGAATACTATTTTTTAAGATCATCAATGATAAGTATCTATCTATCCATCCATCCATCCTTCCATCCATCCATCCATCCATCTAGTTTTAAATCAACTCAAAAATGATGAGCTAATTTGCTTGAAGGGCCAAGAAGAGCCCAACTAAATCAAACACTGATCATCATAATGACGACTTCCGTATTTACAAACTTTTTTATTATTTTCAATAAATGATCAACATAAAATTTTGTGCCATCTCCCAAATTAGATTTTTTTTTTTTTTTTGCAGGACGGGATGTCTGATAAATAATTAAACTTATTTGTTTAGACCGTTAACATTTTTTTCTGGACATGTTTCATGAGTGCCACCCATTGTCGCTCTTTGTCCATTGTCAGGTATAACGGTCCAAACCTGGTTCTGAAGTATGACCGTTCCCAGAACAAACTACTGAACATTGCGGTGGATGAGCCCAGTTCTCCTTACTACGCCCTGAGAGATCCGCAGGGAAACGCCATCGGAGTGACGGCCTGCGATGTGGACGGAGACGGCCGAGAGGAGATCTACTTCCTCAACACCAACAACGCCTTCTCAGGTAACGTTACGCAGAAAAACATGTGTCCCGTACAGACCCGCGAAACGAGCACTGGCTAATTGAACCGATCTGAACTCTTTAAAAGGTCGGGCGACGTACGCAGACAAACTTTTCAAATTCCGTAACGGTCGTTTCGAGGATCTGCTCGGTGATGACATCAATGTTCAGAGGGGAGTGGCCAATCGCATGGCGGGACGCTCCGTAGCTTGTGTTGACAGAAAGGTACTTAATTATTCATCTCCTTATTAATTACTGTGCAAATATTATAAATTGTTTAGCATTTTAATTAATTTATGCTGCTGTAGGGAACAGGTCGATACTCAATCTACGTAGCGAACTACGCTAGCGGTAACGTGGGGCCGCACGCGCTCATAGAGATGGACGAGGCCGCCAGTGATGTGGAGAAAGGCGTCATCGCTCTGTCTGACGTTGCGGCACAAGTCAACGTCAATAAGTACACAGGTCAGAGACGACACAGGCGACAAAAGTCATGTTCATTTACATGATATGTGTAAGACTTTATATAAACTAGCATTTAAAAGGTTAAAATTATTATTGTTATAAATCAGAGTGTTAAGGTGGGCGTGGTGTAGTTGTCCAAAAACATGCTAGGAAAATGGTAAATCATGCTAAAACATGCTAGCAACATGTTAAATCATTCTAAACCATGTCAAATCATGCTAACGACATGTTGAAACATGCTAGCAACATGTTACAGTAAATGATGCTAACAACGTGCTAAAACAAGTTAACATGTCATAAATCAGAATTTTATGTGATAAGGTGGGCGTGGTGTAGTTGCTAGCAACGTTATAAATCACATTAACAAAATGTTAAATCATGCTAGCAACATGCTAAACCATGCTAAATCATTCTTACAGCATGCTAAAACATGCTAGCAACATGGTAATTAATGCTAATAATGTGCTTAAACATGTTAGCAACATGGTAATCAATGCTAATAATGTGCTTAAACATGTTAGCAACATGGTAATTAATGCTAATAATGTGCTTAAACATGTTAGCAACATGTTAATGCATTCTAGCAATGTGATAAAACATGACAGGAACATGTTATAAATCAGAATGTTATGTTATAAGGTGGCCGTGGTGTCGTTGTCGGCCCAATCCTCAGCGACGCAAGATCTGACATTTTCTGTGACAATGAGAATGGACCCAACTTCCTATTCCAGAACAAGGGTGATGGAACCTTCAAAGACGTGGCGGCCGAGGCAGGTGAGACACCAGACTTAATACTTACAGCAATGATTGTCAATCCGCCCTCAGTCTAATGTATTCTGGTGTGATGGCAGGAGTTGAAGACAGATATCAGCATGGCAGAGGTGTGGCGCTGGCCGACTTTAACGGCGACGGAAAGACGGATATCGTTTACGGCAACTGGAACGGCCCACACCGCCTGTACCTGCAGGGCAGCCAGCAGAGATTCAAGGCGAGAGACAAATGATAAATCATGTTAATGTATGCTAACAACATGCTAGTGACATGATAAATCATGCTTATAATATGTCGAATCATGCTAGTGACATCATGCTAACAACATGTTAAAATATGCTGGCAACATGTTATATCATGCCAACATTTCAAACATGCTAGCAAAATGGTAAATCATGGTAATAACATGGTAAAACATGCTTAGTCGCGGTAGCAATGTGTTAAAACATGCTAACATGTTAATTCATTTTAGCAATGTGATAAAACATGCTAAGAACTTGCTAATAAATGATAACAATGTGTTAAAACATGTTAGCAAAACATGCTCATGCTAGCAACCTGTCAAATCATGCTAGCGACATGTTAATTCATGCTAACAACATGTTAAAATATGCTAGCAACATGTTATATCATGTCAACAACATTTCAAAAAAATGTTAGCAAAATGGTAAATCATGGTAATAACATGGTAAAACATGCTTAGTCATGGTAGCAATGTGTTAAAACATGCTAGCAACATGTTAATTCATTCTAGCAATGAGGTAAAACATGCTAAGAACTGTGTTCTATAAGAAGGATGTGTTAGAACATGTTAGCAAAACATGCTCATGCTAGCAACCTGTTAAATCATGCTAATAACATGTCAAATCATGCTAGCGACATGTTAATTCATGCTAACAACATGTTAAAATATGCTAGCAACATGTGTTATCATGCCAACAACATTTCAAAACGTGCTAGCAAAATGGTAAATCATGGTAATAACATGGTAAAACATGCTTAGTCATGGTAGCAATGTGTTAAAACAGGCTAGCAACATTTTAATTCATTCTAGCAATGAGGTAAAACATGCTAAGAACTTGCTAATAAATGTTAGCAATGTGTTAGAACATGTTAGCAAAACATGCTCATGCTAGCAACCTGTTAAAACATGCTAATGCTAGCAATGTTAATTTGTGCTAGCAATGTCTTTCTCTTTCCACTAAATTTAAAGCTTGTAAAACTTTCAAACTTTCATACGGATTTTCCAAGCTAACATTAAAGTTTATATATCTACGAGTCTGTTGTGCCGTTGTAGGATGTCGCCACACGGGCCTTCGCCACTCCGTCGCCCATTCGCACCGTCATCGCTGCGGACTTCGACAACGATCTTCAGCTTGAAGTCTTCTTTAATAACATTGCTTACAGAGAAAACGCCCCCAACAGAATCTTCAGGTACATCAACTAATTCAAAACATCAATAAACACTATAATGTAAATATGAATAATACTACAACAACACTGGCTTGTGGTGGTTTAGGGTGTCGAGGAAGCAGAACTCGGACCCGGACGTCACAGAGCTGGATGTGGGAGACGCCTCTGAGCCTCAGGGGCGGGGCACAGGTGAGACCACCTGACCAACATCACATGACCAGAGCCGCTTCCTCATCTCTTTCTTAATAACGTGGTCTTTACAGGTGCCACAGTCACAGACTTTGATGGCGATGGTCTGCTGGATCTGCTGGTGGCTCACGGTGAGAGCGCCTCACAGCCCATCTCCGTGTTCAAGGTCACCCAGGTACGCCACAAACTCATTTACAATGTAAAAACCTGACAGTCTGACATCAGACTTTTGGTTCTTATTGTATATGTATACATTTTAAAATTGTAAATATACATTTCTATGCATAATAAATGGAAAATATAAACACTTTCCAACATTATTCTCGGATCTTTTTAACAGAGGACAAGTTATAGAAAAAAAACTTAGAAAAACTTAAAAATGTCAAATAAAATAAAAAACATCTCTAACTGTATCACATAACTCTACATAAGACATAAAATATTAATTTAAAAAAGTAATTTTTTTTCGCCATTTGTTTCTAATAATCCAAAAGATGTAATGATTGATATGGGCCTCGATTTGCTCATATTTGCATATGAGATTTTAAGGGTCTCATTCGCCTGTTTTGCATATATATATATATATATATATATATAAATATGTGACCCTGGACCACAAAACCAGTCACATGAGTCAAATTTTTTAACTTGAGATTTATACATCTTCTGAAAGCTGAATAAATAAGCTATAAATAATGAAAATCTGGAATCTGAGGGTGCAAAAAAATCTAAACATTGAGAATATCGCCTTTAAAGTTGTCCATTTATGTTCGCTCTTTTGCTGCATTCACTCACAAATAATATTAGATATTTTTACGGTAGGAAATTTACAAAATATCTTCATGGAATATGATCTTTACTTAATATCCTAATGATTTTGGGCATCGAAGAAAAATCGATAATTTTGACCCATACAACGTACACGTGCGACTGTGTATGGTCACACACACACATTTGTAGTCACTCAGCTCTATGTATTGTCCTCTCCGCAGGGCTCCAGCAATAAGTGGCTGCGTGTGGTTCCTCGCACACGGTTCGGGGCGTTTGCTCGCGGAGCGAAGGTGGTGATGTTCACGAGACACAGCGGCGCACACACTCGCATCATTGACGGAGGCTCGGGGTATCTGTGCGAGATGGAGCCCGTGGCTCACTTCGGTTTGGGTACAGCTCCTCAACATCTTCTTTTAAAGTCAAATCCATCATTGTGTCTTCTTTAAAATAGTATCCACGTGTGCCAGATGTGGGCCGGATCTGGGCCGACACGGTGTTGCTGTATGGGAAACCTTTGAACGCTAGTTAAAGGGTGTTTTATTATGACTGATTTTATCGCTCTAACACACTCATTAGCATATGGGAATCATGGTCTCATGTCATTGGCTCTTAGGAACCGATGATGCCACCAGCATTGAAGTCTATTGGCCGGATGGTCGCTCCTTCGTACGGTCGCTCGAGACTACTGATATGAACACAGTCATCGAGATCGCATATCCTAATGAAGGGGAGGAGTCAGCCCTCACTTCTGATGCACAGGTACGACTGCATGCAAATGAGTAGGAGGGGTCAATGCAGATCAGGGGGAGGGGTCAAGAGATTTCAGAACAAGGCACAGATGTATTCTTAAATGGTCGATGCTTGATTAAATTGGTCTTAATATTAGATACTCTGTATTGATGCTTTGCAGTGTGGAGACGGATTCACAGTGAACACAAGCGGCCGCTGTGCAGGTAAGAGCCCCACACAGCCGATTATTACCTGTGAACCACATGATCAAGGGTCCAAAATTCGAGAAAATGCATTTCTGTAAATAACGTTTATGGTTTAAATGATAAGAATTATAATATGACCATTGCTGATGTCCCAGAGAGCAACATAGTGTCGGCACAGATCCGGCCGACATCTGGTACACGTGGATTCAATACGTACCGGATGTGGGCCGGATCTGGGCCGACGCTATGTTGCAGTCTGGGATGAGAAGTGCATTTTTGTCACAAATGTGCCCAAAAATGTAATAATCATATTGTGATAGGACAAAGATATATATTTTTAGTAAGTTAGAAACATTTTGAAAATTTTGACATTTTGAAAAAACGCATTTTGGACCCTGTATATCCTAGCAAATATATGAAAAAATAGGAATATGTTGGGAAAAATATTCTTATGGAAATATGATCATATTTAATAATGATTTAAATCTGATTCATTTTCATTTTGTTTGTTGTAAATGAACATCTCAAGACAAATCAGAATATGAGACCCCGTTTACACCTGGTATTAAAATGCGATCTGTATCCAGATAAGTTATCCGGATAATAAAAAACGCATGTTAATGCAAGGTGTAAACGCGTTGTGATCGGATCGTGATCGGATCTGCCTGACCACATCTGGAGGTAGTCTGGCTCGCATTGTGTCCGGATCTTTACTAGGTGTAAACGCAATCTGGTTGTTGAAACCACATATGTATATTTTACTCCTCCCAAAAATGCTAAAAAATAAACCAGTGAGAGCGTGTTATATAGGCTATATGTCATGTTATAGCCTAGTCAGATGCGACACGCGACACGCATCACCGCAGATGAGCAGCTGAGCGTCTATTCAACGTGCAAACATCGCAAATAAAAGTGAAAGTAAGTCACAGACGCAGTTAACACATCTTCAAGTAAAGAAACGAAATTATCTTACCAGGCCTGTTGCCACTCTCTCTTATTGATGTCTCTGATTTGGAAATTAGCTGATGATCAATAAAATGCCGCTCAGATCTGTTGCTTTTGGTGGCGTGCAATCCAATAAATCTGCATATAACGCAGGAGGTGAAGATCGGATTTATATCCGTTTTGCAAAAACACATTTATGTGGCCAGGTGTAAATGCAATCGGTACTTATTATCCGGATAACTTATCTGGATACAGATCGCATTTTAATACCAGGTGTAAACGGGGTCTGACTTTCTGTATCAGTTTTACTGCATGCTCATCAGGCTTTTTAAGGACACATTATAAGTGGATAGGAAATAAATTATATATCAGTATTTCCATGCAATATGAGATATTATGAAAATGTTGGCACTCTCATTATTTAACGCTTCTTCTTCTTTTTTTCATTACTTATTACTGAATGCACATATTAAGACATAATATGCAAATTAGAGACAATGAATATATACTGTACATTGGATATAATGGGAAACCCCATTTTCGGCCATGTTGACACTCACATTGTGTAATGAAAAATAATATATCAAATCATTCTCTAATATCCTTTAAATCTTTGCATAGTTCAGGTTCAGGTGGAAGTTTCCAGAAAACCCTGATTTACATTAAACGCCTATTAAATGCAGGCTCTAGTATGCATACTAAATGCAAAATATAAACATTTACCAACATTATTCTCATATCTTTTACAGAGGACAAGTTATAGAAATAAAATTGACTGTATATAAAAATGTAAAAAAAAAAATCTAATTTCATTTTCTAATTAACTGAATCCTGGTGTCCTCTATAAAGGACATATAAAGTATTAATAAAAAAATAAGATTTTTTTTCCTCGCCATTTGTTTCTTATACTCCAAACGATGTAAAAAAAATAAATAAAATAAAAAGAAATTCCATTTATATTGTTTTATGGGTTTTGAATATTTAATTGCTCTGATTGGCTGATGATGAGGTTTTACGATGTCTGGAGCAGATTTTCAGAAAGAGAGAAAAGTTTCAGAATATAACGCAAAGGTTGAGAATATGATAGCTTCTGTGAATAATTTTTAAATGAATGAATTATGCTTGAATAATTGTAAAACAATGAGATATTTCTGTTGTCTCTCTTGCTCAGACAGTGACAGGCTGAGTGTGTGAACCGGACAGGATCATCATCACCATGATCTCTCAGATGTCTGAGGACACACACACACACACACACACACACTTCTACTGCTAACACCTGTGCTGCTACTCCAGTACATTTCTAAGGGGAAAAACATAGTCAGCGCTAACTGCATCTGAAAATGTTCATCTTGCTTTCTGGGTTTTTTTTAGAAGTTTTTTTTAGAACAACTTGTTTACTTAACATGGGAACAAATGGTGTGCAATAAAAATAAAGCGTTTGTGAGCGCAGTGTGATTGTGATTCTGTCCTCCAGCTCTGTTCATACACACTTCACAAATAATTACAAAAAAAGGTCAAGCAACACTGAATGATATGTAATGTTTTGAAGTAGAAAGACTAAAATAGTATTTTCATCATAAAAGGTGCTCCAATAAACTACTTTATTTACAACACTGTAAAAAATAAATTAATCAGAGTGGTTAAATCTATAACTAACAGGCTAGAAATGAAAGAAATAGAAATAGAAAGAATTTAGCTATTCGGTCTCATTATGCAAAACGGCCTAACGTTCTTGTTAAGTTATGAAAACATTATTTCTGAACGTTCAGAAAATGAGTAGCAACATTTATAAATGTTGATGAATATCCAACAAAAAATTAAACATCCCCGTTCTAATATTAATAAAGACCAGATCATTTTTAACAAACGCTCTTTTACCGGTACTAGAAGAACATTTGTTTATAACTTTGAGAAAACCGTGACAGAAGGTTCCCCGGGAAGACTTTACCTGAACCTCCACCGGCTCCTTTTACATCTCAGAATTTTGACTTTTTTTCTTGGAATTCTGAGTGTACATCTCGGAAATCTTACTTTTTTTCTTGTAATTCTAAGTTTACATCTAGGAATTCTGACTTTTTTTCTTGGAATTCTGAGTGTACATCTCGGAATTCCGACTTTTTTCTTGCAATTCTAAGTTTACATCTCGGAATTCTGGCTATTTTTTCTTGTAATTCTAAGTTTACATTTTGGGAATTCTGATTTTTTTTCTTGGTTTACATCTCGGAATTCCGACTTTTTTCTTGCAATTCTAAATTTACCTCTCAGAATTCTGACTTTTTTTCTTGCAATTTTAAGTTTACATCTCGGAATTCTGACTTTTTTTCTTGTAATTCTAAGTTTACATTTTGGAATTCTGACTTTTTTTCTTGTAATTCTAAGATTACATCTCGGAATTCTGACATTTTTTTGCAATTCTAAGTTTACATTTCGGAATTCTGACTTTTTTCTTGGAATTCTGAGTGTACATATCGGAATTCAGATTTTTTTTCTTGGAATTCTAAGTTTACATCTCGGAATTCCAACTTTTTTTCTTGCAATTCTAAGTTTACATCTCGGAATTCCGACTGTTTTTCTTGCAATTCTAAGTTTACATCTCGGAATTCCGACTTTTTTTTCTTGTAATTCTAAGCTTACATCTCGGAATTCCGACTTTTTTCCTTGTAATTCTAAGTTTACATCTCGGGAATTCTGAGTTTTTTTTTCTTGGTTTACATCTCGAAATTCCGACTTTTTTCTTGGAATTCTGAAAAAAAAAATCTGAAAAAAATTAAACATCCCCGTTCTAACATTATTAAAGACCAGATAATTTTGAACAAATGCTCTATTACCAGTACTAGAAGAAAATTTGTTCATAACTTTGAGAGAACGTGACAGACTTTACCTGAACCTCCACCGGCTCCTTTCACACCCGTTCCTCTGTTCTTTCCACTTTAGATTCGCCATCTCTTTCTTTCTCATGTGTCGTCAGCCATGCATCATCATCATCCTCTCTCTCTCTCTCTCTGTCTCTCCAGCGGTGGCCTCAGGTCCGAGAGCAGCGCCTCTTCCTCTCCTGCCGGTTCTCGTATTCATCTTCCTGAGCTTCTCCTGGTCTCAGTGCTGAGTGTGTCCGTGTGTTACTCAAGAGTCTCTGTAGGCGTCGTGTTCCTCTCAGGCTCGGGATCCTCTTAGATCCTCTCGGTCAGCATGATGAAGATGATGAAGACAGACCGAAACACACAGCGGTGCTGTGCTTATGCATGAATGTTCGTCTCTATAAGGAGAAGACGGTCAGTGAGGAAAGCTTAAAGGCTGCAGACAGCAACAGTGTCGGCCCAGATCCGGAAGTGGAATCTCATGTTGACTATCTTTTCATCCTGGTGACTCAATACGGGACACCCAAATCAATATAAATATGCATATTATCATTTCTCAACTTTTTTCAGTAAAAATTTGTTATATCTTGAATGCAAAGTCGCTTTGGGTAAAAGTTTCAAATATGTATGTAAATTTAATGATTGATGCATAATGGTTTTACCGTTCTAATAAATACACAAATCTGAGAAATTATTTGTATTGAGACTAGATATGAGATATTTTATTTAAAATAGTATCTAAAATAACATAAAAATAAACATTAAACATATTATTATAATAATTTGATTCAATATGAAAATTATTTCGCTTATTTGACATTTAACATGTGTTAAATTGACACTTGGATTAAAAATCACATTTTATTATAAAAAACGAATTATTATATTGATACATTAAAACTTAAAACCTTTTTTTTTTTATAAAACGTGGATTGAAAATGAAAATGCAGAGCTGGCTTGTTTGACCATCATTGTTCATTTATTTTGCTACGCAACAGAAAAAGCATTCTCTTCCTCTCTTCCTCTTGCTCTGCACAAACAGAGGCTGAAGGTTCACAGTAAGAAATGGAAGCTCATGGTGAGGATCATGTGAGGAAGCTCTGGCTCTTGGCAGTCACGTCATCAGCACTCGTTTCGGCTCTGACGGCGTGTTATATTACAAAGCATGAGCGATTAGCACACTGTGAAATAAAGCAAATCATGAATAAAGTCATAAATAGTACCCGTGGTTTAAGATGGCAGTGTCAAGGGTCAGAGATCCACACTGTCCTCGCATTAACAACTACTGATCCTAGTCTAAAATGTGACTTCTAGTCCATAATTCCAGTAAAAGTGCTCATCTCCAAATAATCGAATAAAAGGTCAAGAATCATGGAAATGGAAGACAGTCATGTGCCGTTCGGCAGCTACATCACATGGCGTTGTGAGTGAGATTGCATATTACAGAGACAGAAGCTTATGTGAGCTTTACCCAGAATGCTACAGCTAGTGTGGAAGCTCGTTTCTGCCACGGAATAAGAAAGTGGACAAGGTCATTGTGACTTTTTATCTCACAAATCTGACTTTTCCCCCACAGAGTTCTCATCTCGCAATTCTGACTTTTTTTTGGAATTCTGAGTTTACATCTCAGAAGTCAGATTTGCAAGATGCATTTTTTTCTTGCAATTCTAAATTTACATCTCAGAATTCTGACTTTTTTTCTTGCAATTCTAAATTTACCTTTCAGAATTCTGACTTTTTATGCTGGAATTCTAAATTTACATCTCGGAATTCTGACTTTTTTTCTTGGAATTCTGAATTTATATCTCGGAATTCTGACTTTTTATGTTGGAATTTTAAATTTACATCTCAGAATTCTGACTTTTTTTCTTGGAATTCTGAATTTACATCTCGGAATTCTGACTTTTTATGTTGGAATTCTAAATTTACCTCTCAGAATTCTGACTTTTTATGCTGGAATTCTAAATTTACATCTCGGAATTCTGACTTTTTTTCTTGGAATTCTGAATTTACATCTCGGAATTCTGACTTTGTATGCTGGAATTCTAAATGTACATCTCGGAATTCTGACATTGTTTCTTGGAATTCTAAATTTACATCTCAGAATTCTGACTTTTTTTCTTGCAATTCTAAATGTACCTCTCAGAATTCTGACTTTTTTTCTTGGAATTCTGAATTTACATCTCGGAATTCTGACTTTTTATGCTGGAATTCTAAATTTACATCTCGGAATTCTGACTTTTTTTCTTGGAATTCTAAATTTACATCTCAGAATTCTGACTTTTTTTCTTGCAATTCTAAATGTACCTCTCAGAATTCTGACTTTTTATGCTGGAATTCTAAATTTACATCTCAGAATTCTGACTTTTTTTTCTTGGAATTCTGAATTTACATCTCGGAATTCTGACTTTTTTTCTTCGAATTCTAAATTTACATCTCAGAATTCTGACTTTTTATGTTGGAATTCTAAATTTACATCTCGGAATTCTGACTTTTTTTCTTGGAATTCTGAATTTACATCTCGGAATTCTGACTTTTTATGCTGGAATTCTAAATTGACATCTCGGAATTCTGACTTTTTTTCTTCGAATTCTAAATTTACATCTCAGAATTCTGACTTTTTATGCTGGAATTCTAAATTTACATCTCGGAATTCTGACTTTTTTTCTTGGAATTCTGAATTTACATCTCGGAATTCTGACTTTTTTTCTTCGAATTCTGAGTTTACATCTGACAAATCTGACTTTTTCTCAGACTTTTTGAGTTTTACCTCACAAATCTTGCTTTAAACCTCACATTTCTGACTATTTTTTCCTCAGAATTGCAAGAGAAAAACAGTCAGAATTGTGAAATAAAAAGTCATGATTAGCTTTTTCATTTTGTGGTGGAAACAAGCTTCCATAGCTAGTGAGTCGGGATGTGCAACGACTGCAGGTTTGTGAAGGGTCACATCTATCCAGATGACTGAGGTAATGACGCTGCTCACAGCGGATGTGTGTTGTGGAGGCAGTTCATGTCAGGTGTGTTTCTGTTTGGCGATGCTGAACGGTCAGCGTGTCTGTTCAGCGGGCGTCAGTATGAAGGCGTGTGGACGGGTGAATGTTACAGTGTGTGTGCGTGAATCATCGTCCGCTGCTGCTGGTTGTGCTGCTTCCTGAGCTTGAGCCACTGGAACCACGGTCCTCATACACACTGATCTCAATCTAACACACACTCGGGTTAAGAGAAACTCACACAGCATTAAACAACGTTAAATGCACAAACTACTGGATAAAGAAATAACTTTACACATACATTCTCATACTAGACTACCTATCATGAATAGAATCAAATCTGGTGTCCAATTTAAAATATACCATTATAGTTTTTGGTTTTATTTTTAATTTTAGTAAAGGTTTTATCAATTTTGTTGTGTTGTTATTAGGTTTTGTGGATATAGTGTTTATAAAAAAAAATTTAGTTATTTTATTACTATTTAGTATTTTATTACTAAATGAAAATGAGAAATTTTCCTTTCTCACATTTTTTTATTTAATTACAAATTTTTCAAGTAATGAAAATGTGTTTTATGGTTTTAGTTGTAGTCAATCTGTTAAATTTATATTTAATGTACAGTAAATAAATTTAAATAATTTTAAATAATAAATTTAAATCTTAGTTATGAACTTAATTTGATAAAAATAACATTAAGTTCAAAAGATCAAAATCTTAATTAATATACAAACCAAATTGCATAAATTGAAAACCTCATTTAAAATAAAAATGATATAAAAGCATTCATGAAATATTTAGCTTGAGCTCATAAGTTGCACTAATAAGCATTTTCCACAGACACACCTTCTAGACTGTGTAAGGATACGACCCGCATGCCTCTCTCTAAAGGGTCTGTGATGAGGAGACCTCTTGGAGCGTAGATCTTCTCATTCTGCTCCTGAATGTAGCGCGAGATCTTCTTCAGCACCTGCACAAACACACACAAACGGTCAGACTCATTTACATTCTCTAAATTCTGCAAAAACAACACATAAAGTAACCAATGACTGTTAGCTTTCATTTACGTGTCATTTCGGGGTGGGTTTATCTGAAACTGAGAACATACCTTCTCGTAGCGTGTCTCGATGCAGAGGAATATGAGGTAAACCGTGAGGCAGGCCAGACAGCCCTCGAGGTACGACTGGCCCCCGATCTTCTCCGCCTCGGCATAGTAATTATTCAGCGTCTTCACCGTGTCCTCAAACAGCGTCCTCTCAATCTGACCAATCAGATGCAAGGACAAGATGAGCCAGCCAATCAGAGAGCAGCATGGAGGTCATTATATGGCATGAACTAGTGGGTTTGAATCAAAAACTGTCTTCGATCAGGTGACTGAAGTTATAAAAACACTCAATTACGTCATAATTAATAAACAGAGTGTGAGAATGAAACTGAAAGCTTTACATGTTAAATGGTCTCTCCCTGCCATTTACTCTGCAAGTCTTTACTGGCTGTCTGTAACATGATCCTACACCTTTAAACATCTCTATTATCAGCTCTATTAGCAGCTCTATTATCAGCTCATTATGTGTGTTGTGGAGTTTGCGCACTCAGCAGTGCTTTTGCTGAAGAGAGAGTTTCTCTGAGTGAAGAGCCTTGTTGACTTTTTCTTATCCGCTCCTTTTACTTGCTTTGTCTCTCTTTTGTTCTGCCACACACACACACACACACACACACACACACACACACAAAGTCTGGTTCGCTATCTTTCTGGGTACTCTCCATAGACGTAATGGTTTTAATACTGTTCAAACTGTATATTCTTACATTACATTAACCCTAAACCTACCCATTACCAGTGATGCCGGTAACGCGTTACTAAGTAACGCGTTATTCTAATTTGACCCCTTTTTTCAGTAACGAGTAATTTAACGCGTTACTATTTCGAAACCAGTAATCAGATTAAAGTTACTTATCCAGGTCACTGTGCGTTACTATTTTTGTAATTTTCCTTAGTAAATATATATATATTTATTTTTCATCTCGGGGAGTGTGCGCGACAAGTCACGTTTTCAGCATGAGGTTCACGTCACGTGTACCACGCACGCAGCGACACAAATGTAAACAACGTTGGAGGGAGGAGAGAGATGCGCTTTTTCTAGCTGGAAATACAGTCACTATTTTGAGTTTGTCTCAGCTAAAGATGGCAACATTAAGGTCCGTTGTAAACTGCTGGCGGTGACAAAGTGTAACACTTCGTCAAATTTGAAAAAAACAAAAAAACATTTGGATTCGCAGCACCGCACAGTCAAACTTACAGAGCAAGTCACGCCAGGTGATGCAAAGCAGAGAGCAGGTTCCCCACCACAAAAGCAAAAGCTGGACTTCGTTGCAAAACCAGTAAGTGGGGGGAGTTGAAGAAGTTGGTCGGGCAGTTTGGTGTGGAGGAAATGCTGCGATTAAACACGGTCGCCTTCGTTTCAACCCGAGAGGTTTGAGAAGCTTCTGTTAATGATGTACAACCACTGGTTTTACTCGCCTCTCTCCTTAACTCATAACATGGGATTAAACATAAGATAAAAAAATAAAAAATGTAGATTATGAATAGTAAGTTGTCACAGTGTTAACTGTTAAATATGTCAGGTCAAGAAATTTTATAGTCTATATTTTAAATTTTTATAAAGACAATGTATTTATGTTAAGTGAAGACAAGAAAGGCTGTCTTTATTTTATTTTTTTATAAAAACAAGTATTTATGTTAAGTGAGGTGAAGAAAGACTTAAGTTGAGTCAAGAAAGACTGTTTTTTTTTTTTTTTTTTTTTTGTAAAACATGTTTTTTCAGGAAATAGTTTTTAAGTTAAACTTTAAATGACAGGAGATAGATTGTTGATGTTACTGTTAAAAATACACTTCCAACTAAGTGAATGTTGGCAAAACCGGTTATCATTTTTATGTTGACGTCGTGTGTTTTTTTTTATGTTGAGGTCGTTATGTTGAGGGTGTGTTGTCGGCAACTGCTGAATGTAACTAATAAAAGTAACTTGTAAGTAACTTAGTTACTTTAAAAATCAAGTAACTTGTAAAATAACTTAGTTACTTTTTCAAAGTAACTGTGGCAACACTGCCCATTACACACACACACACACACACACACACTCTAACCCAACCCCTAAACCTACCCATCACACACACACACACACACACACACACACACTAACCCGACCCCTAAACATACCCATCACACACACACACTTACCCTGCTGTCTAACTCGGAGGGGAACTTGGTCTGGAACTTGCAGATGGTGCCATCAGTGTAGTCCCTCTGAATGAAGACCTTGTTGGCTAGAGATGCGCTGTGTCTCAACTCCTGAAGGTTATGAAACTACAGCAGAGAGAGAGGGAGAGGGAGAGAGAGAGAGAGATACAGTCTGATCTAATCATAAATTCCATTACTTTGGGCTGCTAGATGTTAAACAATCCATGAAAAATGGCTTGACAAAGTTTTCTGTCCTCTGTTTTAGCATTTTCTATTAAAAACAGAAGTGTGGGCATGGAAATGAGCCACTAGTTACATCATATCATATCACTACTATCCACCTTATTCTGCGCCCGTTCTATTTCCCATGATTCATTGCGGTTTCAACTGACGGTTTTCCACTTCCTGTTGAAGTATTGTTTACATAGAATGCTAGCACTCTAGTCCAGACCACTCATCTATATACAATGATATATTATATAGATCAGTGGTCCAAACATTAGAAAAATATCAGTCTACACGTGCGTTTTATATTCACAGACATGACCGTTATTAAAGCGACTTTAAAACTTTCACCGAGATTTTAAAGAGAAACCACTAAGAAACCTTTCTTTAAAGTGAATTTAGTTTTTTTATTAATTGAATCTTAATTTAAATCAATGTTTCATCAACCAATTGGCTTTATGCCCAGCTGCACTACTTCCTGAACTTCAGCCAGCTCCTTGTTTCCTGTCTGCCATTATTGGTCAAATTGATTAATTCAGGTGTGCTTGACCTCAGTAGTCATGGCAACAATAATCAGACACACCTGAATTAATCAATTTGGCCAATAATGGCAGACAGGAAACAAGGAGCTGGCTGAAGTTCAGGAAGTAGTGCAGCTGGGTATAAAGCCCATTGACTGGTTTTAATAAATAAGAGGTATATAAACAATAGATGATCATGACGGAGGCGACAGCGCGCAAACTGGACTTTGGTCTGAAACTCGGCGTAACGTTATGCCTAACCTCACAGCCCTGAGAAATATATAGACTATGCATCTTTGAAAGCAGAGGTAGACAGGAGTCAAAGGGCTAACCAGCCTAACCTTTTAGTGGCCTACTGTTCAGTCGGAGTGATAGAAACTATCGGATGTTTGCTGGTTTAGGGAGATTGTGCAGTCATGCATCAGCTATCCCTTGAAAGTAATAAAAAACGTTCATTTTGTTTTTATCTGTGATTTAATAAAAAAATAACGTGATCAGATCACATTTGATGAATGTTTTTTTTTTCTGATTTAGTTTAGCGATGTGAGGATGACAATCTAAAACACATGGCAAAAAAAGCATAGACCAGACTCGAACCAGAAGTTGACAACCGGAGTCGTTGTCATGGCGGCGCCCATTGTTTAGAGCAGAATAAAGTGGATAAACTAACTTTCTAGTCAGTGACATTTGGCTGTGGTTTTAGAACTCTTTGTAGCATAGTGCAGTGATGTCATCGTTAGCACATCACTGCATAATTTAGAGCATATTATGACATCACTACATTACTTGGAACTTATGTATGTATTCGTATTGAACCGAAACGGTCTCTCAGAGTAATGCAGTGATGTCAGTATCACTGCATTACTCTAAGCTAATGATGACACTGCAGTTTGTGAGCTAATGATCATAAAACTACGAGTACGAGTACGAGTAATGCAGTCAGCGATGTCATCATTTGTTCATACAGTAATGTCGTCATTAACTTTTAGATTAATCGAGTGATGACCTCGTAATTGAATAGGCACTTCATTGCACGGACACACACAAACATCAGAGAGACTGGCCATCTGTCACTGCCAACACACACTAACATCAGCATGAACCGGTCCTTCCATCCCCCACACTTTCCCTGCCTTTACACCTCTTTCTCCTGCAGTACCGCTGTTGTTTTCACAAACCAGGATGATCAAACCTATAAAGATACACTGAAAGAATATAATATGAAGCACAGCATCAAACTACACAAACACTTAGTGTTAACTACAGTGTAAGTACTGAGTAAGATTAATTGTACTAATAGTGTTAGGGTAGGATTAGGATTTGGTTGAGGGTTAATTACATGTAAGTATTCATAATTTACTGCTGTTGCTATGGTAAGTTCATATAACAAGGACACTTTAAAATAAAACACACTTTAAAGCTCACTGTCAGTGGCTTTCTGCTATGACACGACGTTTATATCACAACATATAAAAGGCCATTATGTTGTTCTTTATCTTTGGACATCTAAAGGTAAGAAAAAGATTATTCAGATAGCAAGGGACGATATAATTAAATGAACAGTCCTGGCAACCTGTTTATTTAAAAACTGCCTCTGTTTTAGTAGCAGGGCTTGCCAGTTCATGGCTCCTTCTGATATAGTAACAGGCTGAGACAGCACGCGCTGGTTCACACACACACACACACACACACAGAGAGAGAGAGAGAGAGAAAGAGAGAGAGAGAGTGTCTTGACACACAGCTCTTCAATCCTGTGGATGCGGTCAATCTCTGGCACTGAACTAATTTGCACAGATCTCAAGAATTATTGCACCGCTCAGATAAGAGGCATATCTGGTGTCAACTAAATGCACAACACCACATTTACCTGTTGAATTCCTCGAAATACACTCAGAAGGACCCATAACTAAAAGATGTTGGGAAAAGGTCTAATGAAAGCATGGTACTTCAGTATATACACCATTATGTGGAATAATAAATACCACTGCAAGAATACAGTGGTCAAGAATCACATATGCATGGTATAATTGATAAAACATTGTTTATAATAGCTTATTTTCGGACATAAATAATGATAGCATCATGGTTTTTGAAGTACTTGCAGTTTGAACGTGAATCTAATCATTCATGCGTTTTTACCATCTGACACCACCACTGTGTACAACTGGCCACTATGTACGGGTAAACCGAGACTTATCATGACTAAACGCTCTGGGCTGCTGTTACTAAATGCCTCGTTAATTATGCATGCAAGCCGCTCTCGGTAACTGTCTCAGAAAGATGAGAGACACTGTTCCTGACTCCCGCGAGCACAACCGATCGATCGCGAGGAGACGATCATTTAACACACACTCACCGCTGATACCAAAACCATCAAAACACAATCTAACCAGTCGATGTATCCTGTACAGAATGATTATTGATCGTAAACGTGAAGAGAACGTTTGTTTTCTGCACGCACGAGACTAAACAAAGAGATCTCGCGCTGGAAACACAGGCGCGCGCGTTCAAGGTTACGCGCCGGGACAACGGACACACATTTTGACTCCTATAAACCTCAGAATAACTTGTGAAATCACATTTAATATCCCAAACCACATAAATTCACCACAGGAAATCACATATTGCCAGTTTTAAAGCACTTTTAAAGAGGGGAATGCAAATAAAACCCTTACAGACTCGTGACAGTACGGGAGTTTTGTTCGGTCCGTCGCTGTCCGCGGTGCTGAAATCATTCCTGAACCGGACACCGACATGGGAAACTCAAACACGATATCTGCCAATATGTTTTCGCCAGAAAGGCTTAACGACCCGCGGACAGCCGCCTTTATCCTCTTTAATGTCCAGCTGTGCGCTCGGCCACGTCACAACACGCGCTGCTCGCGCTGATTTAAATACGGCACCGGATCCATCCGACTGCACACACACACACACACACACACACACACACACACACACACACACACACACACACACACACACACACACACACACACACACACACACACACACAAGCCCTTGTCATCTCGAGTGATGAATGATGAATGAACACAATGCTTTAAGAACACACTTTCTTTCACGTGTCTGATCTAAGCAACAGCATCTCGGACAATCTGAACCCTCTGTCAAGCTATAAACAGCTATAGGTCCAAATATTTGAGAGCACTTCTGTTTGTTTTACTGTCTTTTAATAAAATATTGACCATTAAAAAACCGACATATTAACATGGATTACAAAATTAGCATCTCTCTCAATGCTTCGATAACAGCAGCACTCGATCTGACTTAAACAAACCCGAAAGATGTCAACAATAAGCTACTAACTAACTAGTCACCTGTAACAACTTGGGAAATCTCCATGATCGCACCCTGCAGAATGGTGGTAACCCAGTATAGTCAGTCCGAACAAATATAAATTGACTGAATAAAAAAAAACCCCGTTATTTTAGATCACCACATGATCTATCTATCTATCTATCTATCTATCTATCTATCTATCTATCTATCTATCTATCTATCTATCTATCTATCTATCTATCTATCTATCTATCTACATAGGCTATAGCGCTTCACTTGTGGCTGGCCATAGCGTTTAGTTTACACTGTGTATTGTATGTTTAGTTTAGTAATCATCACAACCGATCGTGGTTTTAAAAAGCGACGCGTAAAAACAGAGACGGCTATTCGCGTTTGCCTGTAGCGTCACGTGATCTCCAACCCAGATTTAAACCATCAAAATGACGCCGATTCAGAAGGTATATCTTACAAAAACGGTTGTACTGAACGCATTTGGTGCAAAAATGAGATTATAGGAGTCAGTTTCTCACCTCTGTGGCCATGTTGCCATGCGAGGGCGCGATCACGATCCTGTCCCGGTGCTAAAGAGGGTTGATCGTTCACGGGAATAAACGGTTTCGCTGGGGGATAAAAAAAAAGGGGGCGGAGCCGGAAACAATCACACAATGTGATGATGCGCGGGGGGAGGAGCAACGGACTGAGATGCCGCTCAGATAGGGTTCAGTCAGTCAGTCAGTCAAATAATGTTTATATCTAACAACCTCAAATAATGTTAATATCAAACAGCCTCGTCAGAAACCACAAAGATTACAATATAAACTTGAGTTCACTTACAGACGCTCACGAGGAGAAGTGTCGTTCACCTGAAGTGACCATAGAAACAGAGCCATTAATGGTGTCTTTGAAAATAAAGGGCGGTTAGATAACTGCGCAAAAGGACCGAGATCCTCAACAACTTTTAGGATTAGGCAAAACTTCCTCAATGAAACTCCACACAGCAAAACTTATATTCAGATTTTTTATTACTGTAACAGTAGATTCAACCAAAGAAACATGGCGTTATACTATGGATAACTTACCTGGCAAATATGAATTTATGTTTAAATAGTAGTAGGACATTCATAGCTCTATAACCGTTAATACTCTGTTTTTACATTCAACCATGGCTTAAAAACAATCAGACGGAAAAATAAAACAATGACACGAACATAGCTAGCTCATTCTTTCAATAAGAATGTGAAGAGGATAATTATTGAAGAGACGTTATTTGCTGATAGACTAATATGGTAGCATTATTTTGATTATTATTGAGGATTTTCCAAAAAAACAAAGATACATTTATAAATAAAAACATTCTCCAGATTAAAAAAAGCACACATACATAATCAACAATCACAGGATAAAGCAGGTAAGCAGCTATAGCAGAAGGTTTACGAATCGTAACAGGAGTTAAGTCAACAGGTTTATGAGAGAATTAAAATGTATTTTCTTCACAAACCATTGATGTCAACCCAACTTATCAGATTTGAAATTACGTGAAACAATATAAACCTTCTGAAACGCTCAGATCCATTGCTTTTGCCATCCAATGCAATGATGAAAATGACCAACATCATTTACATGGTCTTGTTTTCCTTTATACGATCATATTACATCATCAGGGCCCTGGATATTAACCTGATTTCCCACCAGGGCTCAAGTTCTGGAAAGTGATGTTATAATGAGGGTTGATGAAACTACAGCATCTGATACCACAGCAAGGTGAGGTCCAAGTAAACCAACCGATCTTGATATATTAGAGTTGGCTGGGGAAAGCAGCATATTCCAAAGAAAAAGGTCACCATTAAACGCAAAGCCGGTAAGGGGGTCACGAATTTTGAACAAAGAAAACAAAACTCTGAGGAACCACAGCAAGAGCTGAAGAAAACCAAAAGGTAACATAAGCTGCAGGATGTTGGTCCTCCATGTGAAATGCTCCAGATAGAACGAAAGAAACATTGAGAATCACTGAATTGTGGTCCACCCCTAGTTTCTCTTACAGGATTGCTATGGTGGAAGAGTTTTTCAGGATCATGACCAATCCTACTTGGTGTTGAGGAAAGTATTGCACATAGAACAAACAAACACAGTCTCTCTTTGGGCTTCAGGAGCTGAAGATTCAAAGAGAGAAAAAAGCACAGTGTAAAACCATCTTAAAGAAAACACTCTTTGCCAAATTCACGTCCCACTCATACCTGTGGCTCCCATAGTGGATTTGAACACTTTATACGAGCAACAGCGGGAACAACAACTGGCACCACAGTTACTGCAGTTTCTCTAGAAAAGAAATTGGTTATCGGTGAAGCAACATCACACACAGTTGAAATGGTAAAGCATGTTCAACGGAAAGAGGATCAGAAGCCATACCCTTTTCTTTAAAACAGAAAACGCTGAATTGCACTGGAAACAGTTTCCTGAGGAAGGACAAAAGACAATACGGTTATAATGAGAGACGCAGTCGTGTAAAGACGAAACAACACACCCTTTGAATTCTATGGTTTTACGTATCAGGACATAATAAGGGATCATCTGGTCCAAGGCAGGTCTTAAATTGGGTAAGTACAACCTCAAAGAACAACAAATTACATATCACATATCAATGTGAGGCCATCTGTCCTGATGGCTAAAAACTGGGTCATGCAACAGGACGATGATCCCAAGAACACCAGACAATCTACAACAGAAGGTCTGAAAAAGGTGTTGCAAATCCAGACTCACTCTTAGAAGAAATTGTTCTATTTAGAACCAGAAATGGTTCCATCCCCGCTTCATATATGTAACTCCAAAATGGTTCTATATAGAACCATTTGTTTTTGGTAAAAGGTTCTATTGGCCAAGTATGGAACCCCAGGGTTCTATATAGAACCCAGAGGAACCCTTTTTTAAGAGTGTATAGAACCTTTTAGGGGTTCCAAATACGTACCACTGATAGAACCTTTTAAGGTTCTATATAGAACCTTTTCTTCTAAGAGTGCTGACTGAAATGCTGTGGCTTGAGAGAAGCATTGTGGCCCGTAAACCCCAATGAACTGAAGTTCCACAAGCTATTAAATCATAGGGTGTACTTAGTTTGTCACACATGGCTTCTCCATTTCAGCTTTATTTTTGTTATATACATATTGACAGTGTAATATGCCACGTCTTATTGTTCATCTGAGGTTGTATTTACGTAATTTTAAGACCTAGATGCGTAAAACCATATAATTCAAAAGGGTGTACTTTCTTTTTCACACGACTGAATGGTGGAAAAACAAAGTATAAAGAGATGCATAGTAACCAGTGGCGTTGGTAGGGACCCGCTTGCGCAGTTTTTCAGTGAGTTTGGACACTTTACTGCGGATGGGCTCGTTTCTGCTCAACAACCCGTTATCAGAGATGGTGTCAAACTCGGGGACAACAGAAGCCACGTCCTCGTCATCCTATGAATAAACACATATACACAAAGATAAATGAATCATATTCAACTTCAGTAGAGATGAGAAGAGACAGATCTGAAGCCATTAGCTCTCATGCTCAGCTCGACACCAAAAGATCTTCCACTTCACCTTCACATGACAAAACCTGCACACAACCTTTGAAATAGCACTGACATGTATGGGTCAATGATGTTCATTTTTCACAAGACTGGTTAGATCATTAAATGATTAAATAATCATCTGAATGCATGTTTTAAAATGGGCATCCTATAAAAAATTTTTGTTGGTCAATAAAAGTTTTTTGACTACACTTGGGTAGCGGTATAACAGTGTTAAATTGACAGTTCACCCAATAATGAAATTTGTCATTAATTACTCTCCCTCATGTCGTTAAAAACCTGTAAGACTTTTGTTATCTTCGGAACACAAATGAAGATATTTTTAATGAAATCTGAGAGATTTCTGTCCCTCCATTGACGCAACTACCAGTTTCACGCACCAGAAAGGTAGTAAAGACATCATTAAAGTCATTTTTTAAAGTAGCGACACAAGTGCTTTGTGCAAAACACATCATTTTCCACTTTATTTACAAAATATGAATCTCCACACGCACATCACTTGAGTCACAGGGATTACTTTAATCTTTAATGGTGTCTTTACAATCTTATGGGGCGTGAAACTGGTAGTTGCCTAGCCTGTCAATGGAGGAACAGAAATCTCTCGAAATTAATTAAAAATATCTTCATTTGTGCTCCGAAGATTAACAAAAGTCTTACAACTTTGGAACGACATGATGGAGAGTAATAAATGACAATTTTCATTTTTAGGTGAACTATCCATTTGAATAAGTGATATTTCATCCAATCTGACCCTTTATTATTTGCACATCAAATAGCATGGATTCGTGATTTACAATATATTCAAAACATTAAATGCAAATGGTTCGGAAAAACATATGAACATGGCACATGAGTTTTAAACCAGATCATTCTTTGATGCGTCATTGACCCACACATAAATCAGTGCCGTTTACTTTTGACGGCTCACTGTCCTCATGTGAAGGTTTTCTCTCGGTGTTAGTTGTGTATGTAGAGGGCTCTGGGTTTAGAGATCAGATTTACTCAAGTCATTACAAACAGAGGAACCCCTCCGCTTGAAGCGGCACATGTGGCGACTGCTGTAAATCTGATCCCATGTTTGTCGCTGCTGAGCTTCACTTTTGCAGTCATCCGATGACTGGCGAGAGGTCTCAGATTTCTGCACTTAACACCACAAGCCCTCCAAATACAGGCTCCAGTGAACGTTGGGCACGTTTCAGGTCAATCGCTCAATTCAGATGCCAAATTGGACACATTCGTGAATGCATTTTATCAATAAATCAGCCCAACTCCTCACTGTGATTGTTAGTGGACATTCCCAAATAATTTCAGCATGAGTTTGAACCTCACAAAAGAAATATTGCATTAATTGACCTTAATCTGAACCTGAAGAAAGTGTCACGAGTAACCATTTCCTGTGACATCACTGTTAATAGAAGCCACCGAAATGAATAAAGGCAAGAGGGGTGTGTGGTTAGAAGTCAGGACACCTAGAGGTCATGATTGAGAGACGTGTGCACCTTACGGACTCTCCATCTCCGAATCTTTGGTAGGAAATAGGACACACGCCACACCTACATTCAAAACACGGGCCGGACACTTTATTTTAAAATACATTACATTTTTATTCTTTCAAAATAATTAGGTCAATTGCAAGTTTCATAAAGTCAACACTTACTATTCTCTTAGTTATATTCTATTAACTTATTTTTTTTTATTTACAGCACTTATATATCGTTGCCCTATTGTTGATTTGACGGCTTCTATTGCTCTCCTCATTTGTAAGTCACATTGGATAAAAGTGTCTGCTAAATGATTAAATGCAACTTTAAATGTATTTGGAGGTCCTGAGTTAAATGAGATGCATCTGAATTTAAATTCACAACTGAACACAGTCAAGACATACAGGTGAATCTCACAAACGATTTCCGGGTCACATTTCACCACATAATCAAAATTAAATAAATTATTAAGCTTAAAGAAAACAGTACCACATTTCTTTTTGCACAATTATCACAAAAATAATGTCAGTCCTTAAAATAGTGCATAATTTTTGTTAAGCAATATATATATATATATAAAATTATTGTTTATATTTTTTTTTATAATTTTATAGTGAAATATTACATTTCATGACAGGTTTTGTGAGATGCACCTTATTATTGGCAGACTAAAACCTAACAATCACTATTGTTTTACATTGGTGCAAAAATGTATATTGTTTTACATTGGTGCACCATTGCATTACATTGGTGCAAAAACATGCACACACACACAGACAGTTCAGACCAGGCTGTTTCTTTACTCACTTAGAGCAACTGAGGATTTACTCAAACACAAAATGCTCTCAGTTACTCTATTACTCACCACTAAAGCCAGAGGAGTTTCCTTCGAGAGCAGAATAGAGGTCAAAGGTCAGGCATGTACACAATCACATACACACTAAACAACTAAATCTGCTTGGTTAATGATGAGGCTCATATCTACACCTATGTTCACACACAAACACACAAAATATTTGCACACAGTATGTTAATGCTATAAGTCTCCACACCACTAGAGGGAGCTACTTACCGGCAACACAAGCTGAGATTCCTTGAGTAGGCAAACAGCAGAAATGGGAAAACATGTCAGAAGTAGAAAACAGAGACAGATAGACAGACAGACAGATGTTTTCCTGACCTCTATGGCATCTTTAAACTCACCGTCATTCATTCATTCATTCATAGATAGATAGATAGATAGATAGATAGATAGATAGATAGATAGATAGATAGATAGATAGATAGATAGATAGATAGATAGATAGATAGATAGATAGATATTTTTCTAACCTCTATAGCATCTTTAAACTCATCGTCAGGCTCCGCCTCCTCTGCCTCTTCAATGTTGCCAGGTGAAAGATCCTGAACAGGAAGTCAAATCACAGAATCAGTCAATCTGGACTCCTGCTCGCAGTTACAGACAGAACATAATCCGTCATCCAGATGTGTTTAACAGTTTTAGCAAGTGTGTATGTTTTCACCTCCACACTGGATGGAGTGGGCGTGCGCTCCAGCAGGACTGCCTGATCTGGGTCACATGGTTCGGTTTCCTCCACGGACTCGACCCGACTCGGGAAAACAAACTCCTTCAGCTCCAGAAGAACTAGAGCGAGAGAAAGGAAATCAGGTGAAGGAATAAGGTGTTTAGCTTTATGAAAATACTGTGAAAATAATGTGTATATTTTCATTTATGTTTGACTATCAGACATCTGGTCCACACTGAAGCTTCCTCTGGTCAAGAAACGCCCACTCAGACCACATGACCAAATACACAGTTTCGTATTGACATGTCTGAGGCTTCACTGACCTCTGCAGAAGTCTCTGTTCCACAGGAAGAGGGCGCTGTTGAGCACAGACAGACTCACACCCACCGGGAGCGCACACAGCAGGAACAACACAGTCAGGAGAGAACCGTAAAACCTACACACACACACACACACACACACACACACACACACACACACACACAAACAACAACATTTATCATATCACAGAATACATTTTCCAAACATGCGCAAACCAATCACAGCACATTTCGGTAGGAGGGGCGTCATCAAAACATCAAGCATGTAAACATATTCTAGTAAACCCCCAAAACAATATCAGGAATTTGTACGAGGGCACGAAAGGACCCTTTAAAACTCAGGGGACGCGCCGTCTGACACCCAGCTCTCTGCGGGCGAGCTTGCCCATCTTACTTTTCGGCAATTTAAAGGGATAGTTCACTTTGAAATTATTTTTTGATATGTTTTATCTTACCTCAAGGGCATCCGAGATGTAGGTGTCTTTGTTTCCGCAGTATTTTCAATTTTGACATTTTTCAGTCAAACCGTTGTTGTCTATCAGTGATTCACCGGATGCTAAGAGGGTCCACCAAAGAGCATGCACAGAGAAGTCCAAATTAAACATGATTGAATGACTCGTAAATGTAAGTACACATTGATGGCCTAAGACACGAAACGAGCGGTTTGTGTGAGAAAACGAACAGTATTTATATAGTTTTACCTCGTGTAATCCAAGTGATCTGAATCAGTTGTTCAATGTCCAACTGAACCGAACTGAATCAGTTCAATGTTACGCCGTGTGTTCTGTCGATTTTTGCTGCCTTGTCAAAAAATGCTACCGTAGCGCAAATTGATCACAGAATGCCGATTAAAGTCGTATGAAATACAATTATAATACAATTCTAAGTTATGAGTAGCTACTGTATACTGTAGACGACTATTTTACTTTTAAAACGGTGTGAAAAGTAAAAATTATCATAAAATATTCATCTTTGACTTGCCAAAGAACACCTTTCCTCATAGTAACTGAAAATTTCAGTTATTCTTTTTCAGCTGGCTGGCCGTACAAATATTCATATGGTAGTAAGCATTTTTTAAAGGTAAATTATATATTATAACAGGAAAATGTACCTTTTGTAAAAAAAAATTAAAATCTGTGAGTCTGCACATGCGCATAACCGGTAAGTAGCAAATCTCGATGGGTAGCATGAATTGTCAGAACACCGGAAGTGATCGCTTGCGTGTGACGTCACTCAATATTAACACTGAGATTTCGGAAGTTTTACCTTTTACTAAACATATTTAGATATACCGAAATCATCTTCCATTGCGGTTTCCTGTATATTTAAATATGTTTCAGGTGAAACTTCCGAAATCTCTGTATAAACAAAGAGTGACGTCGGCGCGCAAGCGATCACTTCCAGACCGAAGCACCCGTGCCGTCAGATCATTTTGTCGTGGCTATGATTACAAGAGGTAAAAACGATATAAATAATGTTGGTTTTCTCACTCAAACCGCTCGTTTCATGTCTTAGGCCATCAATGTGTACTTACATTCACGAGTCATTAAATCATGTTTAATTTGGACTTCTCTGTGCTGCTCTTTGGTGGACCCCCTTAGCCTCCAGTGTATGACTGATAGACAAGAACGGTTTGACTGAAAAATGTCAAAACTGAAAATACTGCGGAAACAAAGACACCTGCATCTTGGATGCCCTTGAGGTAAGATAAAACATACCAAAAATTACTTTCAAAGTGAACTATCCCTTTAAATCAGTGCTGGAAAACAATTAATCACATCTAAAAAAAAATATAAATAAGTTTAAAAAAATGTATATTCAAAATAATTATACACACACACGTGTTGTGTAAAAACACACACTTTTATTTTGGATGCAGCTCTAGTGCTAATTAATGCTGGCCACAGGCTAAAACAGTAAAACCTTTACACTTCAAGCTTTTCAAAGTGATTTGAACCTGAACCTTGTCAAACCCACATCAAAGTTTGTCATCAAACTTTACTCATTAAAAGCACTCAAATAGAACTTCAAGAATATGTCATATTATTAAGTGTTTTTGTGGACAAGTTATCGCAATTTCACTGAAGTAACAATAAAGTACAAAAAATGGACTATTTTAGCAGCAGCTCTGATGGTCCATTTGAGGAAGATCAAGCTTGTGATCATGGGTGCATCTGTGTGATACTCACGTGGAGGACACGGCGTGGTTCTCCCAGTGAAACACTTTATACACAGACTCTGCACACACACACGCCTGGGTCAAAACGTCTTCTATCCCTTTCAGCCTGTAACACACACACACACACACATCTCTCAGTCTCAGTGCTGATGTCATCCCTCACATGCCACAGTCCTGCTCACTCACATGCCCTTGACCTCCAGCATGGCCTCCTGTTTGCTCATGTGGACCGTCTGCAGGTCTCGCCGCTGGACCGCGTGGTGTTTCTTCTTCTGAACCGCCATCTCGCTGGTCGCGCCCTGGCAACGGTTGCCGAGGTAGCCCAGCAGAGCCGGAGCAGAGGCCGCCAGCAGCAGCAGAGAGACCCACCCGCCTGCAGACACGGGGAACCGTGCGTTTATCTCCTCTCTATTCTGCATCTCTCATGATGAGTTTCATATGATGAGCGCTAATCTGTAGAATTGATGTAATAGCATAGCTCCTCTAGTTTCATGTTACACTTCTCACTCGATGCTTTTTCTTCACCTAATGCAATCATTTAAAGTTAAATAAATATTGAATGTGCATTTGTTTTGGTAATATGGATATTATCACAAAAAAACATTTTCAGCTTTCTGTCCTGATCACTCTGTCATATGAATGCATTGAAATGTAATGTAATAAATCAACTGTGCAGGAGAAGGTAAGCAACTAAAGATCATCTTCTGACATTAAATATTTCAGAATTAGACCAAATAAAAAAGGACATAAAAAAGTTTGTATTTTACATCATCAGGCTTTTATGGCTCATATAGTCGGATATAGTGAGAATATGTGCGGGGAAAACACCTCAAATATAACAATATAACCAAATATAACCAAAAATATAACATTTTATGCAGTTGCTGATATTTATATTGCCAAAAAGTAAGAAGAATTTCTGATCTGATCACTTGTAATGTAAATCAATCTTTATAACAGTATGACAGACTACATAATGCATATAAATATCAGTCGTCACTACAAATGATGATCTCAAATTATAGTTTTATGATCAAAGCTCAGTAGTTTTAAAACATATAACTAGGGCTGGGCAACGATTAATCGCATCCAAAATAAAAGTTTGTGTTTACGTAATATATGTGTGTGTGGTGTGAATAATTATTTTGTATATATAAACACACACACATGCCTGTATATATTTAAGAAATATTTGCATGTATATACTTTATATACATATATTCATACATAATTAATATTATGTATAAATATGTGATATATTAAGAACACAATTTTCTTAAATATATACATGCATGTGTGTGTATTTATATACAAAATAATTATATAAACTACGCACACATATATTACGTAAACACAAACTTTTATTTTGGATGCGATTAATCGTTGCCCAGCCCTACAGATAATGTAATGCAATTCAATAATATTTGAAAGAAGAACAAATAAAAGCTTCCTTAACACTAGAAGTGCCAGAATTCCAAAACTACTAGAACGGCCACGAACGGTCATTTTGACCGTTAGATTCAAAACAGTGTTTATTTCATTGACGAATAATTTTCATAACTTTATTTTCGTCAACCACATTTTTTCAAAGACGAAAACGAGACGATAACTAAATAAAAACTAGGTTTGAATGACAAAAACTATGACGAAAATGTTGACGATATGCGAAGCGGTCAATAGGCTACTAATAATAATAGGACTAGCAGAACTAGTGAACCGCCCATGCAGCAACAGCGCAGGACAGGGCAGCAGAGCTCACCAGGATCATCCGACATGAATGGATCATCTGGATCCGCCGTGTCTGATGATAGCAGCCGTCTCTTTTTCCTTGATGTGGACTCTGACTCTGTCTGAATCACTCTGATGATATATAGCCTATAGATAACGTAAGTATTATAGATAACTGTAGTCTGGTTTTATTTGCTTATTTCTGATCAACAACTAATGTAGAAATTATTATATAGCAAACACCGCTACAGAGGTGACCAGAAGGACCTTTCTGTTGACAGTTGAGAGAGAACACGATCAACCGCGGAATATTTAACAAAAAAATATCGAGAAATTCAGTGCGGTCAATATGACCGTCTATGGCCGAAATAGGTAAATATGTTCATTTTTTTTGTTTTGCCTTACGTTTACGTAACTTAATTTATATGAAAAGCATTTTAAATGAAAATACAGACAATTTTAGGAAAAGTCAGGTACCAACAGGATTTTATTATTTTTTTCAACAAAGTTATTGTAGATATAAAATTCAAAACGGTCAAAATGACCGTTGTGGCCGTTCTAGTGTTAAAAGCCTGATGATCATATTTGATCCATTTAAACATGATTTTTCTTAAAAAAAATAATACATTTTTTTTCCAGAAAGTCCAGAAAATGATCATCTTGAAATATTACTAACAAACTGAAGGATATTCTCACATTTACTTTATGAAACTCACTTTACAGTTTACATTTTATATAATTATTTAAAATAATTTTCATTATTTTTTCACAGCAAAAAGACACAAGAACCACAACTTGAGGGCTTGAACATAGAACAATTACATAGAACAATTATATTTAAGGCGTTTTACTTGCTAAAAGAATATAAAGTATCAATCAGACGACAGAAGGCATGTGGTAGTTTGAGTGCAACATCATGTTGATCATTTAAAGCCCTTAGAAACGTGTGTATTAAGTATAAAACAGTCAGTTTTATAGGGTTAACCTCTCTTATTATGCCACAACTGTTCCTGTGTGAGAATATTTGTGCACATCTCCTGGAGTCTCACCTTCACTCAGCGTGAGGAAGAGGATGTTGAGCAGAACGCAGCTCGACAGGGAGAACAGCGGCATCCTCCACCTGAAACACACGGCATCAGAGCTGAACACTGGGACACACAGCAGCACAAACAACTCACAGATGCGTTTCACAACTGGCTGGAACAAAAACAAAAGCCTTCTGGTGAGAGTCACATGATACAGTCACATAAAGTACACAAGCAGAGCGAGATGTGCCGCGTCTCACCCGAGCAGGAACCGCAGCACCTCCAGCGTGTCTGTGACGGGCTCCAGGAAGATGGCCATCCGCTTGAAGCAGATCACCATGTTCAGCAGGTCAAAGGTCAGCGCTCTGGGGCCGCCCAGCTCAGAGGTGCTGTCTATGGAGGACGAGTCCTTGGCGGGGAGCTGAGTGAGTTTGGCCCGATCGCCGCCCGTCTGCGGGAGCTCATGAGGAGAGGAGGCTGTGCACTGCATGCTGGGAGATCAGACAACATCAACACTGTGTTTATCTGTGTGTGTGTAACGTGACAGTCAAGAGACTCACATCTGTGAACCTAATTTAAATCTTAATCATATCAGCAAAGCCAAATCCAGTAGACTTATATATTACTGACTGTGAAGCTGCTTTGAAACTATGTAATATCTAGAGTTATATAAATAAAGGGGAGCAGATTTGACTAATAAAACAACCATAAAAAAATTCTAATGCTTTAAAATAAATGAACAGTCGTTTCAATTAATGTTAAACTGATTTAAACACATCAGACGACCATGTTTAAAACAATAACACATTAACGTCTTAGGTATGTATGAGAATAAAAGGTGAATATTAATAAACACGTCATATAAACATCAACTAGAAGAAAACACAACAGACAATGGTATAAGTTACCTTTAAATCCTTCAAACAGTGTCTTCTTCCCGCTACAGGGTCATCAAAATCGTCTTAAATATTGAAAAAGATGGATAAATAATAGATTAATCCTCTTACAAATATATATAAACACGCTTTATTACCGCCTGTCCACCGACTCGAACCGAATTTGCTTCCGCAATTCGCAGGCAGAAGTGTAGATGTCAGAACGCGATGATTGTGTCAGGAAGAGGAGAAGAGCGCCGATCACATCGATCGTATCTACACACTATCACATCGATCGCATTTTGTCTGCAGCTTTGTCTTTTTTTTTGTCTTTTTTGTCTTTTTTTTATTCAATCATATCTTATTTGTGTATTCTGCAACATTTTAAAGCTTGACTTTTTTAACTGGGCCATTCCACCGATCTTCAGAATTTACTTGATTTTTAAAAAAAAAAAAAATTTCAACACTGAATCTAATACTACACATATTTAACTATTCAAAATGTGTATTGGTCAATCTCGGGCAACTTTATTATTTTTTTTTTTACCAGGTTTAAGCAGAAGATGGACGCATATTTTCTCAGTCCTGTTACCGAAACTCATGTGCCATTTAAAAAGCATGTTTAAAAGCACGTCAATTAATTCCTTTGTTTTCCCGACAAGAAAGTTTTATTTTAAAGAAGTTGTTGGTTATATGTTCAAATAATTGATTTTTGTGGGGGAAAAATCACTATATATTATATTTATTTAATATATATATATATATATATATATATATATTTTAAAAAAAGTTTTAATAAAAAAATTTAATAAAAAACACAAAGCCATTTTTTTCATTTTAAAGAAGATCGAACCCTCAAGTTTACAATTGTTTTAATAATTTAATTTATGAAACTATTGTATAAATGATGGACCAAACAAAACTGTTAAAAACACTGGCTTAACTTAATTTTTTTTTTTTTAGAAAAAAAGGTAGTAACAGGAATGAACACTTTGTCACAGGAATGAGTGTCTGGGTTAATAGAATATGTCTGTGTATGAGAGAGAGTGTACATGAATGTGTGTGCATAAGAGTTGTGTTGAAGTGGTGTACTAGTGCTAGTAGTACTTCACAGAGAAGGAGGTGGAAAGTGAAAGAAGGAGAGAGAGAAGAAGGGAGAAAAAGAAAGGGTTGCGGGTGTGTTTCACTCATGTGAAACTCATAATTCAGGTGAATAGTAATATTTACAGTAAATCAACAAAACAGAGGACTCTACTCACTCCTGTTACATTAACTCACTCCTGTTATTTTTCATAATGCACAAAAGAGCCATGAGAATCATTCCCTCGGATTTCAGGATCACACAAAGTAATAATTTTTGTAGTCTAAATTGCTAAAATAACACAATTTAATCAAAAATCAAAGTGCAGTATTTATGTTCAAAGTAAGAAATTTTGTTGAAAAGTTTGCTTGTTTGTTTTGTTATTTTTGGTTGTGTTTTTTGCTGCTTGAAGAAGTACATAACTGAGGTTAGATAAATAAATACTTGTCAGTGGTCACTTTGATATGTATATATGTATGGATGTATATAACAACATAATAATAATAATAATAATATAAAAATTGTTAATTAAAGGAACGTCAGAATTAAAGGGGTGCATAAGTTTGACTTCTTCCTACTTTTCACCGTGCAATAGAATTATGTTAAGAGAGGAACAATAAAACTTGCGGCTATAATATCAACTATTAGTTTGACTGTTTGCTGAGTTTGTGTGGGATAATAAGAGCGATTAACGCTCTTTCCCGCCATTTGTTTAATCAATTCAATTGTAAATTCAGCATCTACGATTCTGTTTCAAGAGCAAATATCGCACTTTAGTGTATAAGATATGCTATAATAAGCCTAATTTACATATAAAAATGTTGTGTTTGTGCTGAAAGGAATAACTGATTTAGTTTAAAGGCTAACTCGTAATGATCATGTGATGACACAAATCTGCACCTTAATCATAATTAACCTTTCACACACACCAACACAAAGACAGAACAATAATAATGTGAGAATGGCAAATATCCTCTTCAGATGAGCTTCAATAAAATGTCAGGAAGACTTTTGATAAACACATTTAAAGCATCATCATCATTAAACTATTAAACATCCAGTTCCCCGAAACACAGATGAAACTCAGCTCTGAAGATCATTACTGTTAATGTAGTGTGTGTTGAGCTGCTCACTTCACAGAGACGGCTGATGAAAATAACACCAATTCACTAATACATAAATGAGAGGAAGACTTTATTATATCATATACAAAAGAATCATGTACATTTATATACAGAAAACCCAGTGAGGGTCACGTGACTTTAGTGATGATGATGATGATGATGTCTCTATAGTGGCTCCATATTCACCATCGTCTATTTCTGTCAGTAAAATAAAACACAGACAGTAACACATGCATTACTGACAGATCTGTTCAGAGGATTGACTCATTCAAGTGACATTATTATATTATTTATGAATCAATACTTACAGCAGCAGTGTCTCCAGTTTATAATGTGGATTATCTTTTAGAGCAGAGAGACTCTTCACACTTGCATCTCCTATTATATTCCCTCTCAGATCCAGTTCTCTGAGGTGTGAGTTTGATCTCAGAGCTGAAGTCAGAGCAGCACAACCTTCATCTGTGATCTCACAATATCTCAACCTGTAGAACAACAACACACACTTTAATCTCTCAGTTCAGCAGGAACTACACAACCACAGAGAGACTGAGATATTAAATACTAAGGGCCAGATTTACTAAACAGGGAAAATTATCACGAGAGCGCAACCCTATAAAAGTGCAGATGGGAGAGGAAAGTTCAGAGTTTGATCTACTGGCGAAGCAGAACTTAAAGAACAGAGACGCAGACGGATCATTTCCATCATGACCAACACAATCTACCAGTTAGCGTCTGGTTTCAGACCTGCTCTTTTTGGCCGGTAAATAATGGCACAAACACCGGGAGCCTGATGCAGAAATGTTGCATACGCACAAAAAAAGGCACTGAAATGTTCGTACACAATTTTCCATGCACATATCGGCATTTATAAAAAATAAACTATTGTAAATATGTGCGCACCGTACGGACACTCTAGACGTGCGTACACACTCTTTCACTGGAGTGAGCGAAGACATGAAGTCAACAGAATGATTTAAACTGTTTTATCTGATATACACATTTAGGTTAAATATGCCTCTCTCATTACTGGAGTTAAGCATTGAAATATAATGAAATCATTGTCCAGAAGTTACAACATTATTTCTTTCTACTTAAATATAAATATTTGTACTGACTAAATAGCAGATGTTCTGAGAAAATATTCTCACGCAAATAATGATTGTTACATGTGCGTGTATTTGAGCTTCATTTGTGCTATGTTATGATGTGTTTGTCCTCTAGGGGGCGAGTGTGTTCATGTTTGTGTCTTTCTTTATTAGGGACTGATGGCCGCTGTTGTGCCTAATTTCGACCCCCTGCCAAATTATTACCCCCCTCGTTAAAGTCAGTACCTGATTGCCTAATCCCAACCCCGCCCCTAATCCTAACCCCTCCCCCACAACTAATCCTAAACCTACCAACGCTAGGAGGGTAATAATTTAGCGGGGGTCAAAATTCGGCACAACACCGGCACCTGTGGTTCGTGTACGTTTGGCATAAGAAGTTCAAGCGGCCGAATCTGTGCGGGGGGGCGAGGTGCTCGGGCGGCTCTGTGTGCTCCTTTGTTGTGTCTTACTCTGGTTCATTTCCCTATTATCAGTCCGTTGACTCAGTACTGTACGATCTGCTGCACGCAGGGGCTGTTGGTGTCGAACACACACAGAGAGGAGGATAATCATAACCACTTTCATGCTCTTCACACTGTTATGAAAATACTACTGCATTTGAAGGACAGAATTGGAAGGAAATGGTAACGTTTTACATTTAAAATGTTTTGTAAGTGACGTGCCGAGTCAGACAATTATTCACACTGCAAAGAAATATATAATCCCCAGGACCAGAGTTGAGGACCACTGACATAAAACGGATATAAATATCAGTCGTCACTCTATATCTGCCAATAACATGTCTTAGTAAGATGATATTTAAATGCTTACTTTTATTATTAAAGCGCGGTAATTTTAAAACATATAATGTAATGCAATACAATGATGATTGAGATATAAATTAATAAAGCTTCCTGAAAAGCCTGATGGTCATATTTGATACATTTGAACATGATTATTTTTTATAAAGATGTATGGATAATCAAGTAAACCTTAGTGGCTTCAGTCCAGAAAATTATCATCTTGAAATATTACTAACATTATAAAGGTCATTCCAGAATTACTTAAAAAATCTGTAAAGATTTCACAGCAAAAAGTCACATGACCCACGAGCTGAAGGGACACGCTTTAAAACTATAAACCATCAGCCAGACAACAGAAGGAAAGTAGTAGATTGTGTGCAACAGGTTTTGATCATGTTGATAATTTAGATTAAATATGATACAGAGTGAATTAAAGGGTTAAAATAACATTATTCATGTCTCAGTTATGATTAATGTATAATCTTACCCCAGTTTCTCCAGTTTACAGTGAGGATCCTTCAGTCCATCAGAGAGCAGCGCCACTCCTTTACCTCCTATTATATTCTCAGACAGATCCAGTTCTCTGAGGTGTGAGTTTGATCTCAGAGCTGAAGTCAGAGCAGCACAACCTTCAGCTGTGATCTTACAATATCTCAACCTGTAGAACAACAACACACACTTTAATCTCTCAGTTCAGCAGGAACTACACAACCACAGAGAGACTGAGATATTAAATACTAAGGGCCAGATTTACTAAACAGGGAAATTATCACGAGAGCGCAATCCTATAAAAGTGCAGATGGGAGAGTACCATATATGAATGATAAATATATTAAATGGATCAACAGTATATTTGAAAATATACAAAATAATATATTGTGCTAATATGTACTGGATAATACATTAGGAATTGCCGCTTTTCATACATAAAAAAATATGTGATAATATATCATAATGTGTATCACTAGCAGTGGTTAAAGTGGGATTTGGTAGGTGGGGGAACCCTCAAATTTTGTGTATGTCCAACTGGGGCATTAAAAAATAGATATTTAGGGTGGTTCGAGAAAATCTTTATTTCTCTGACCTACATGTGTGCAATTTAAGACTTTTGAAGGCCCAAAAAAAAAAAAGATAATAAACAGCTTTAAAACCATGCCAGTGGGCATTAGATTATTTTGTCAAATATCTGTTATATTTAATATATCAAATATATATTATTTGTTTCAATATCTGCTCCTCATCTACATCTTTCTTTTTCTCTCAGTCTCCTTAACCTGCCCTATTTCTTCCCCTCCTAAAGCTGAACTTTGACTGATAGTCTTTTCATTTTCGTCTGTGTTAGTGAAGATAGTAAACTTAACTGATAATTATATGTTTTATGAATTATTATCTTAAACAAGGTAATTTACTCAAAGCTACCAGGTCAGTATTGCCACCTTCTACAAGCTTTGGAATTTGAAAATTAATTTTAAATAATACAAATTATAGCTTCGTTTAACGCAGTTGGTGGAATTGGCAGACGTTCCCTCATCATGCGCTGTGGAAACGCGTCAAAGCATCTCAGGTATAAATATGCAGCATTATTGCACGTAGGTGATTTTGAATGAATATTTAATGTCGATATACAATGGTTACATAATGTTAAAACTAATCATGCTATTGATCTCTTTGTGAGACCCTGTAGAAGAGTGGCTAGGGAAAACAAATGTCAGGCGAAATATATCGAACCTAAAACTTTAGCGCGCTCAACCACCGTGAGTGCATTTCACGCATTTGTAATCGCTCGCGTTCAGCGGGCAGGAATAGGAGGTTGGTCGGTCGGTCGGCATCCGCGTCGGCCCATATCGAGATCAGCGAGATTCGTTGAGATTAATGAATCTATTTATTTATTAATTTATCTGAGGTGCCGAAACGCAGTTCTGGATCATTCCGGCCCACTTTAACCCCTGATTACTAAATATAAAATTGCATAGGCTACTTCATAACATAGATGTATATGTGATTGGATATGGTGCTGCATGTGTAATATATTGCAGATATATTAACTCATGCAACATAAACACACATATATAAAGAAATAAATAATGTAATACATTTCTTATATTTTTTTATTATTTCCATTATCCACCTTATTCTTGACGACCTTTACTGTGTTTTGAATTATGGGTGGCACTTCCGGTTTCGGGAACTTCAATTCAAAAAGGCTGAAACGAATCATTTCAAATCATAAGGTTGTCCTACAAATAAAGCTGATCCGTCAATTTTCCTTCATGATTTATTTTCAGTCATCATGAGAATAACGTTATCTACTGGTATTTTAACGTGACATGTTATAACAAGAGCATCTATGGCAAGAGCTGTTTTTAGTCGCTGCTTTCTTTTCCTCATAATTATTTTCTTGTTTCCCCTTTTCAATCCGCTGTAAAAGTATGAAAAAGGACAACATATACGGCACATTTGTGGCCTGTTCTCCTGAATTTAATTTACGATATATGCCATTAATAATTCACTGGAAAACATGAAGAATCTCTCGTTATTCTCCTCAAATCCTCAAGTCTCTTTCCAGGTTTGTTTTTTACATGTAAATGCAATTTATAATCTGACAAAATGACGGAAATTACTTTGAAATAGTGTCACGTTATGCTGAAGTTAATGAACATTTTTGATTAAGGCAACATAAGTTACATACATATATATTAGCATTCAGTGATATTTAACCAAAGACTCGCGCTTTTGGGGTTAATTGGTCTGTTGGAAGTACATGTTGATGCTTTTACACTTTTAAATTTAATGTTCGATGGTTGAAGAGAGAGTATATTAATGTCATCTCATTGTGACACTTTCACTGATTGTTTACAGCTTAACGAAAGTCACACCCATAATTCACGCAAAGCACCATGGGGCGCAGGAATACTGTGGATAAATGTTTCATAATTTCAAGCTAGTTAAAAGTACTTTCACACCTGCATGTACTAATGTATTTAGCCAAAAGACCATCACTGAGCCGAGGAGTGCACAGACACATCACTAAAATATAGTCATTGTAGTTTTAATGTTGTTTGGCCGATCGTCAGCCTCACCACAGGCTCTCCTCTTCAGCACAATGGTCACCCCAAAAACACACACCAGAAAACCTTTTACACTCCAAAATAACAGAACATGAAACACTAACAGATCTCCCACTATAATAATATTCAGCAAAACACATTAAATAACACTTGCCTTTTACTTGCTAAAAAAACTATAAACCATCAGCCAGACAACAGAAGGAAAGTAGTAGATTGTGTGCAACAGGTTTTTGATCATGTTGATAATTTAGATTAAATATGATACAGAGTGAATTAAAGGGTTAAAATAACATTATTCTTGTCTCAGTTATGATTATTGTATGATCTTACCTCAGTTTCTCCAGTTTACAGTGAGGATCCTTCAGTCCATCAGAGAGCAGCGCCACTCCTTTACCTCCTATTATATTCCCAGTCAGATCCAGTTCTCTGAGGTGTGAGTTTGATCTCAGAGCTGAAGTCAGAGCAGCACAACCTTCAGCTGTGATCTTACAATCATACAACCTGTAGAACAACAACACACACTTTAATCTCTCAGTTCAGCAGGAACTACACAACCACAGAGAGACTGAGATATTAAATACTAAGGGCCAGATTTACTAAACAGGGAAAGTTATCACGAGAGCGCAATCCTATAAAAGTGCAGATGGGAGAGGAAAGTTCAGAGTTTGATCTACTGGTGAAGCAGAACTTAAAGAACAGAGACGCAGCCGGATCATTTCCATAATGACCAACACAATCTACCAGTTAGCGTCTGGTTTCACACCTGCTCTTTTTGGCCGGTAAATAATGACACAAACACCGGGAGCCTGATGCATAAACGTTGCATATGCACAAAAAAAAAGCATTGAAATGTTCGTACACAATTTTCCATGCACATATCGGCATTAATAAAAAATAATCTAGTGTAAATATGTGCGCACCGTACGGACACTCTAGACGTGCGTACACACTCTTTCACTGGAGTGAATGAAGACATGAAGTCAACAGAATGATTTAAACTGTTTTACATCTGATATACCCTTATCGATATGGTGATCCTTGCTCTAAGCAAGCGGCTGACCGGAGCTCTCTGCACTGCTCCCCGCGCGTGAAACTGTGTGCAGAAGCCCAGCCGCGAGCCGTCGACATCCGGGAACGGTGTTTGCGCTAAATTCATTCTGCCGGCCACACCAAACATCATCCCGCCACGGCTGCAGCTTCTCAGGGAAGTTCGAGGTTGTGCACACTATTGTGTTATCGTTAAGCCCCACTAAAGACATAAAAAATATTGTAAAGCACCATAAGTTTTCACACTATATTTCAAGACTTCTTAAGTCATTCAATAGCATAATGTGAGGTAAAAATGAATATTCAAGTCGTTAAGTTAAAGTTAATGGAAAGTCATCTCTCCTCAGTCATTCTCCATTCAGTTTTCAAACAGCGCGTCGCGTTCGGTTTCGACAGTAACACGACGATACTCTCTTCAAGATCAATGTTCCCACTATTATACTTTATTTGTAGATAAATGTCTATGGTTTGCATAAAATGACTTGCTGGAGAGTTTACTGCACTTTCTAAATCATATTCCTTTCTCCCGGGTGTCTGTTAGATTACAGCACTCATGAATTGTTCCTCATGCAACTGTTAAAAGAAAAGGCTCAATAAAGTGTTGCATAGATATAGAGGGTTTTCACCGACGTCACGGCCATAATGCGCGGCCATTATGGAGCCACTCGGATGTAAACAACACAAAGTTGTGTTTGTTGCATAAAAAAAAATTTGTAAATTTATATTTTTATTTGCAAATCTCATTTTATTTATTTGTGAATTTTATATTTTTGTGAATCTTTTTACATTTATTTGTGGATCATAATCTATTTATTTCGAATAATGCAACAATTTTACCCCCATAGCGTGTCCCAGGGGAATATCATATCATTGCCCCCACAGCGGGAAAAAGCTCCAGCCCCGAAACAAAAGCTCACTGCAAACTTCATTTTCCCGCAGCCACCTTATGGAGCTTTGATTAAAAAAAATAAAGGCACTCCTGTTGTTATACAGTATTTATGTTTACATTTTATTGTTATTTGAACAGCTGAGCATTTAATTGTGAACCAGGTGAAGAAACCTGTTTATTATTTATTCATTTGATTTTGCCCATGTTCGCTGAAATAGCCGGTTTCAGTAAAACTAGGGTACTTGTGACGTCATATTTGGCTTTGACTGAACATTTGCTGTCACTTTGTGGAAAAAATATCGGGATATATATCGTATATCGATATTCAGCCTAAATATATCGGGATATGACTTTTGCTCCATATCGCCCAGCCCCAGTTTGGCCGATCGTCAGCCTCAACGCAGGCTCTCCTCTTCAGCACAATGGTCACCCCAAAAACACACATCAGAAAACCTTTTACACTCCAAAATAACAGAACATGAAACACTAACAGATCTCCCACTATATTAATATTCAGCAAAACACATTAAATAACACTTGCCTTTTACTTGCTAAAAAAACTATAAACCATCAGCCAGACAACAGAAGGAAAGTAGTAGATTGTGTGCAACAGGTTTTTATCATGTTGATAATTTTGATTAAATATGATACAGAGTGAATTAAAGGGTTAAAATAATATTATTCTCATCTCAGTTATGATTAATGTATAATCTTACCCCAGTATCTCCAGTTTACAGTGAGGATCCTTCAGTCCATCAGAGAGCATCGCCACTCCTTTATCTCCTATTATATTCACAGTCAGATCCAGTTCTCTGAGGTGTGAGTTTGATCTCAGAGCTGAAGTCAGAGCAGCACAACCTTCATCTGTGATCCCACATTTAATCAACCTGTAGAACAACAACACACACTTTAATCTCTCAGTTCAGCAGGAACTACACAACCACAGAGAGACTGAGATATTAAATACTAAGGGCCAGATTTACTAAACAGGGAAAATTATCACGAGAGCGCAATCCTATAAAAGTGCAGATGGGAGAGGAAAGTTCAGAGTTTGATCTACTGGTGACGTGCGTACACACTCTTTCACTGGAGTGAGCGAAGGCATGAAGTCAACAGAATGATTTAAACTGTTTTACATCTGATATACCCTCATGAAAAGAAAACATATGTACCATATATGAATGATCAACATATTAAATGGATTAACAGTATATTTGAAAATATACCAAATAATATATTGTTTTAATATATTACAATATACTGAATAATACATTAGGAATTGCCGCTTTTCATACATAGAAAAATACGTGACAATATATCATAATGTGTATCACTACTAAATATAAAATTGCATACTTCATAACATAGATGTATATGTGATTGGATATGGTGCTGCATGTGTAATATATTGCAGATATATTAACTCATGCAACATAAACACACATATATAGAGAAATAAATAATGTAATACATTTCTTATATTTTTTAATTATTTCCGTTATCCACCTTATTCTTGACGACCTTTACTGTGTTTTGAATTACGGGTGGCACTTCCGGTTTCGGGAACTTCAATTCAAAAAGGCTGAAACGAATCATTTCAAATCATAAGGTTGTCCTACAAATAAAGCTGATCCGTCAATTTTCCTTCATGATTTATTTTCAGTCATCATGAGAATAACGTTATCTACTGGTATTTTAACGTGACATGTTATAACAAGAGCATCTATGGCAAGAGCTGTTTTTAGTCGCTGCTTTCTTTTCCTCATAATTATTTTCTTGTTTCCCCTTTTCAATCCGCTGTAAAAGTATGAAAAAGGACAACATATACGGCACATTTGTGGCCTGTTCTCCTGAATTTAATTTACGATATATGCCATTAATAATTCACTGGAAAACATGAAGAATCTCTCGTTATTCTCCTCAAATCCTCAAGTCTCTTTCCAGGTTTGTTTTTTACATGTAAATGCAATTTATAATCTGACAAAATGACGGAAATTACTTTGAAATAGTGTCACGTTATGCTGAAGTTAATGAACATTTTTGATTAAGGCAACATAAGTTACATACATATATATTAGCATTCAGTGATATTTAACCAAAGACTCGCGCTTTTGGGGTTAATTGGTCTGTTGGAAGTACATGTTGATGCTTTTACACTTTTAAACTTAATGTTCGATGGTTGAAGAGAGAGTATATTAATGTCATCTCATTGTGACACTTTCACTGATTGTTTACAGCTTAACGAAAGTCACACCCATAATTCACGCAAAGCACCATGGGGCGCAGGAATACTGTGGATAAATGTTTCATAATTTCAAGCCAGTTAAAAGTACTTTCACACCTGCATGTACTAATGTATTTAGCCAAAAGACCATCACTGAGCCGAGGAGTGCACAGACATTACTAAAATATAGTAATTGTAGTTTTAATGTTGTTTGGCCGATCGTCAGCCTCACCACAGGCTCTCCTCTTCAGCACAACGGTCACCCCAAAAACACACACCAGAAAACCTTTTACACTCCAAAATAACAGAACATGAAACATTAACAGATCTCCCACTATATTAATATTCAGCAAAACACATTAAATAACACTTGCCTTTTACTTGCTAAAAAAACTATAAACCATCAGCCAGACAACAGAAGGAAAGTAGTAGATTGTGTGAAACAGGTTTTGATCATGTTGATAATTTAGATTAAATATGATACAGAGTGAATTGGAGAGTTAAAAAAACATTATTCTCGTCTCAGTTATGATTAATGTATGATCTTACGTCAGTCTCTCCAGTTTACAGTGAGGATCCTTCAGTCCATCAGAGAGCATCGCCACTCCTTTATCTCCTATTATATTCTCAGACAGATTCAGTTCTCTGAGGTGTGAGTTTGATCTCAGAGCTGAAGTCAGAGCAGCACAACCTTCAGCTGTGATATTACACCTCCACAACCTGTAGAACAACAACACACACTTTAATCTCTCAGTTCAGCAGGAACTACACAACCACAGAGAGACTGAGATATTAAATACTAAGGGCCAGATTTACTAAACAGGGAAAATTATCACGAGAGCGCAATCCTATAAAAGTGCAGATAGGAGAGGAAAGTTCAGAGTTTGATCTACTGGCGAAGCAGAACTTAAAGAACAGAGACGCAGACGGATCATTTCCATAATGACCAACAGACCTGCTCTTTTTGGCCGGTAAATAAAGGCACAAACACCGGGAGCCCGATGCAGAAACGTCGCATACGCACAACAACAACAAAAAAAAAGCATTGAAATGTTCGTACACAATTTTCCATGCACATATCGGCATTTATAAAAAATAAACTAGTGTAAATATGTGCGCACCGTACGGACACTCTAGACCGTGCGTACACACTCTTTCACTGGAGTGAATGAAGACATGAAGTCAACAGAATGATTTAAACTGTTTTACATCTGATATACCCTTATGAAAAGAAAACATATGTACCATATATGAATGATCAATATATTATGTGGTTTAACAGTATATTTGAAAATATACAGAATAATATATTGTTTTAATATATTACAATATACTGAATAATACATTAGGAATTGCCGCTTTTCATACATAGAAAAATATGTGACAATATATCATAATGTGTATTACTACTAAATATAAAATTGCATAGGCTACTTCATAACATAGATGTATATGTGATTGGATATGGTGCTGCATGTGTAATATATTGCAGATATATTAACTCATGCAACATAAACACACATATATAGAGAAATAAATAATGTAATACATTTCTTATATTTTTTAATTATTTCCATTATCCACCTTATTCTTGACGACCTTACTGTGTTTTGAATTATGGGTGGCACTTCCGGTTTCGGGAACTTCAATTCAAAAAGGCTGAAACGAATCATTTCAAATCATAAGGTTGTCCTACAAATAAAGCTGATCCGTCAATTTTCCTTTATGATTTATTTTCAGTCATCATGAGAATAACGTTATCTACTGGTATTTTAACGTGACATGTTATAACAAGAGCATCTATGGCAAGAGCTGTTTTTAGTCGCTGCTTTCTTTTCCTCATGATTATTTTCTTGTTTTCCCTTTTCAATCCGATGTAAAAGTATGAAAAAGGACAACATATACGGCACATTTGTGGCCTGTTCTCCTGAATTTAATTTACGATATATGCCATTAATAATTCACTGGAAAACATGAAGAATCTCTCGTTATTCTCCTCAAATCCTCAAGTCTCTTTCCAGGTTTGTTTTTTACATGTAAATGCAATTTATAATCTGACAAAATGACGGAAATTACTTTGAAATAGTGTCACGTTATGCTGAAGTTAATGAACATTTTTGATTAAGGCAACATAAGTTACATACATATATATTAGCATTCAGTGATATTTAACCAAAGACTCGCGCTTTTGGGGTTAATTGGTCTGTTGGAAGTACATGTTGATGCTTTTACACTTTTAAATTTAATGTTCGATGGTTGAAGAGAGAGTATATTAATGTCATCTCATTGTGACACTTTCACTGATTGTTTACAGCTTAACGAAAGTCACACCCATAATTCACGCAAAGCACCATGGGGCGCAGGAATACTGTGGATAAATGTTTCATAATTTCAAGCCAGTTAAAAGTACTTTCACACCTGCATGTACTAATGTATTTAGCCAAAAGACCATCACTGAGCCGAGGAGTGCACAGACATTACTTCTAAAATATAGTTTTAATGTTGTTTGGCCTAGGGCTGGGCGATATATCGATATAAAAAATATATTGATATATTTATAAATGCGATATGGAATTAGACCCTATTGCATATATCGATATGGTGATCCTTGCTCCAAGCAAGCGGCTGACCGGAGCTCTCTGCACTGCTCCCCGCGCGTGAAACTGTGTGCAGAAGCCCAGCCGCGAGCCGTCGACATCCGGGAACGGTGTTTGCGCTAAATTCATTCTGCCGGCCACACCAAACATCATCCCGCCACGGCTGCAGCTTCTCAGGGAAGTTCGAGATTGTGCACACTATTGTGTTATCGTTAAGCCCCACTAAAGACATAAAAAATATTGTAAAGCACCATAAGTTTTCACACTATATTTCAAGACTTCTTAAGTCATTCAATAGCATAATGTGAGGTAAAAATGAATATTCAAGTCGTTAAGTTAAAGTTAATGGAAAGTCATCTCTCCTCAGTCATTCTCCATTCAGTTTTCAAACAGCGCGTCGCGTTCGGTTTCGACAGTAACACGACGATACTCTCTTCAAGATCAATGTTCCCACTATTATACTTTATTTGTAGATAAATGTCTATGGTTTGCATAAAATGACTTGCTGGAGAGTTTACTGCACTTTCTAAATCATATTCCTTTCTCCCGGGTGTCTGTTAGATTACAGCACTCATGAATTGTTCCTCATGCAACTGTTAAAAGAAAAGGCTCAATAAAGTGTTGCATAGATATAGAGGGTTTTCACCGACGTCACGGCCATAATGCGCGGCCATTATGGAGCCACTCGGATGTAAACAACACAAAGTTGTGTTTGTTGCATAAAAAAAAATTTGTAAATATATATTTTTATTTGCAAATCTCATTTTATTTATTTGTGAATTTTATATTTTTGTGAATCTTTTTACATTTATTTGTGGATCATAATCTATTTATTTGGAATAATGCAACAATTTTACTCCCATAGCGTGGCCCAGGGGAATATCATATCATTGCCCCCACAGCGGGAAAAAGCTCCAGCCCCAAAACAAAAGCTCACTGCAAACTTCATTTTCCCGCAGCCACCTTATGGAGCTTTGATTAAAAAAAATAAAGGCACTCCTGTTGTTATACAGTATTTATGTTTACATTTTATTGTTATTTGAACAGCTGAGCATTTAATTGTGAACCAGGTGAAGAAACCTGTTTATTATTTATTCATTTGATTTTGCACATGTTCGCTGAAATAGCCGGTTTCAGTAAAACTAGGGTACTTGTGACGTCATATTTGGCTTTGACTGAACATTTGCTGTCACTTTGCGGAAAAAATATCGGGATATATATCGTATATCGATATTCAGCCTAAATATATCGGGATATGACTTTTGCTCCATATCGCCCAGCCCCAGTTTGGCCGATCGTCAGCCTCAACGCAGGCTCTCCTCTTCAGCACAATGGTCACCCCAAAAACACACATCAGAAAACCTTTTACACTCCAAAATAACAGAACATGAAACACTAACAGATCTCCCACTATATTAATATTCAGCAAAACACATTAAATAACACTTGCCTTTTACTTGCTAAAAAAACTATAAACCATCAGCCAGACAACAGAAGGAAAGTAGTAGATTGTGTGCAACAGGTTTTTGATCATGTTGATAATTTAGATTAAATATGATACAGAGTGAATTGGAGAGTTAAAAAAACATTATTCTTGTCTCAGTTATGATTAATGTATAATCTTACCCCAGTATCTCCAGTTTACAGTGAGGATCCTTCAGTCCATCAGAGAGCATCGCCACTCCTTTATCTCCTATTATATTCTCAGACAGATCCAGTTCTCTGAGGTGTGAGTTTGATCTCAGAGCTGAAGTCAGATCAGCACAACCTTTATCTGTGATCTTACAATATCTCAACCTGTAGAACAACAACACACACTTTAATCTCTCAGTTCAGCAGGAACTACACAACCACAGAGAGACTGAGATATTAAATACTAAATCTGTGTGGGTTTATTGCTTTCATTACTTTTTGTTGACTTTTGCTGTATTGTGTGTAAATTACGATCTGAAAAAATATAGTAAAGTGTGACCTTTGTTTAAAAAAATAAATCAAGCCAAATTATTACGACCATTGACAACAAAGAACAGAGAAACACATCACTACAACACACACACACACACACACACAGAGAGAGAGAGAGAGAGAGAGACAATGATTGTCCTCACACTTACTTTGCTGATCTGGAGGCTTCAACTACAGGCAAGAGCTTCTGAAGTACTTCATCTGGTGATGTGTGGTTTTGGCCTTGATGGATGTTTATGTATTTCTGTAACTCAAACTCATCCAAACACTCTGAGGTTAATAAAGCAAAGACAACAGCTGACCACTGTGACGAGGACAATCTGGTGCTTGAAAGACCTCCAGATCCGAGACACTCCTGGATTTCATTTACGAGAGAAAGATCACCCAGTTCATTTAAACAGTGGAACAGATTGATGGATTTCTCAGGTGAGGGATTCATTCTTATTCTCGTCTTAATGTAATCAATCGTTTTCTCTTTATTGTACGAGATGTTTCTAACATGCGTCAGAAGGCCTTTCAGGAGCTTCTGATTGGACTCCAGCGAGAGACCCAGAAGAAACCGCAGGAAAAGATCCAGATGTCCATTTGTACTCTGCAGAGCCTTGTCCACGGCTCTCTGGTGCAGGTCAGATATCGTGTGACACGTGAACTCATGTGCATGTTTTGAGCTGAGGGTTTCATTGAGCACATCCCTCTCGTACAGCAGGAATGAAAGCAGCACATAAAGAGCTGCTAGATGCTCCTGAATGCTCAGATGAACAAAGCAGAAGACTTTCCCCTGATAAAAGCCCAACTCCTCTCTGAAGATCTGAGTGCACAATCCTGAGTAAACTGATGCTTCGGTCTCATCAATGCCACACTCGCTCAGGTCTTCCTCATAGAAGATCAGATTGCCTTTCACAAGCTGCTGAAAGGCCAGTTTCCCCAGTTTGAGGATCATGTCTTCGTCCTTCACTTTCTTCTCATAGTCCTTCTCATGTTTGATATTGGTCTGAATGATCAGGAAGTGTGTGTACATTTCAGTGAGAGTCTTGGGAATCTCTCCAGTCTCTGCGTCACTCAACATCTTTTCTAGGACAGTGGTCGAGATCCAGCAGAACACTGGGATGTGGCACATGATGAAGAGGCTCCTTGATGACCTCATGTGTCTGATGATTTTATCGGCCAGACTCTCATCACTGATTCTCTTCCTGAAGTATTCCTCCTTCTGTGGGTCATTGAATCCTCGTACCTCAGTCACTCGATGCACACACTCCGAGGGGACGAGATCGGCTGCTGCTGGTCTGGAGGTGATCCAGATGAGAGACGAGGGAAGCAGATTCCCCGCAATGAGGTTCGTCAGGAGCACGTCCACTGAGGCGGATTCAGATATATTACACAGTTTCACTTTAAAATCCAGAGACAGACGACACTCATCCAGACCATCAAAAACAAAGACCACTTTATATTCATCACTGAATGGTTTCATTTCTCTTGTTTCAGGGAAAAAGACATGAAGAAGCTCTGAAAGACTGAGTGTTTTGTCCTTCAATAGGTTGAGCTCTCTGAAAGGAAGAGGAAACATGAGCTGGATCTCCTGATTCTCCGTCCCTTCGGCCCAATCCAGGACGAACTTCTGCACAGAGACTGTTTTTCCAATGCCAGCGACTCCTTTAGTCAGCACAGTTCTGATGAGTTTGTCTTGTCCAGGTAAAGGTCTAAAGATGTCTGTACATTTGATCGGTGTGTCCTCTGTTGCTGCTCGACTGGATTGAGTCTCAATCTGTCTCACCTCATGCTCATTATTGATCTCTCCACTATCACTCTCTGTGATGTAGAGATCAGTGTAGATCTGATTCAGGAGTGTTGGGTTTCCCTGCTTTGCTGTTCCCTCATAAAGACACTGAAACTTCTTCCTCAAATTTGATCTAAAGGTCTTGAGGGCTTCGGCATGTTGATGGTCACTGCTGTAAGATAAAATAAAATTGTAAAATAAAAAAATATAAATAGCCTACATTTTAACAGGATATTGTATTTCATCAAGATCCTACTATGTAAAGCCGCGTTTCCACCGCAGGAACTTTCCCCAGGAACTAGGAACTTTGGGGTGGTACTCGGTGTGTTTACACCGCAGGAATCAGGGTCTAAATGAAGTTCCGGGTAAACATTTTCCCCCCAGAGAGTCTCTGCTGGCGAGGTGGTACCTTTTCAGAGTTCAGGAACTTTCGGGGTGGGACTTGTGCGCTGAACGTGCTGATTGGTTCTTACCACGCTATTCTTTCTGCCCGATGGCACGATCGTACCATCCATCTCACGGTCAATGTCTGCTGATGACAAACGTCTACTTTTATATCTAGCATTACGAGCTGTCTGAATACGCTTTGGGTGCTCGTCTCTTTTCAGCCGTTTTGTTAATTACCTCGTTAGTAAACCAATCGCACACAAAAAAGCAGCAAAGCTTGAATCTGCTGCTTACAAAACTCAAAACAAACGCGCAGGCTAGGAAGAGCAGTCGCACACAGTTCAACGTAATCTTCACGCCCCGGACCGGTACTTTAGTATGCGGTGTAAACGCAGTAAGCAAGCGGTCTAGGGAAAAAAAGTTCCTGTGAAAAAAGTTCCTGGTAATTTTGGTGGAAACGCGGCTTAAGACTTTTTGAATACATTTCAAATGTCTGTCAAATTAATCAATGTAAATATAAACATGTGTAATAAGATAAATGATTTAGTAAAGTGTTTACCTAAAGCCAGGATCAGTGTGTCCACTAAACTTAAGTGGAGGATCCATTGACCAGTCACTCTTCATGGACACACAGCTGTATCCTGGAGGGTCCCGTCTGTGGATTTAGTTAAAAACAAGTGATTGTAATTCACACACTCTTAAATGCATGACTTTTGTAATTGATTCGGTGACTGAATTATTTCATTAATATTTATTATGCTGTTGTAGATCTTTTAATTAATGCATTACATGCAGACTCTATAACACCTTTAAAGCATTAATAATGCCCTTTTTTCTTAGTTTCAACACAAATGATGTAATAAGATAAATGGTTTAGTAAAGTTTTTACCTAAAGCCAGGATTTGTGTGTCCGCTGAAGTTACGTGGAAGATCCATTGACCTTGACCGGTCACTCTTCATGGACACACAGCTGTATCCTGGAGGATCTGGTCTGTCAAGTGAAATTAACAGAAGTGAATGTAATTCACACACTCTTACATTAATCAGTTTTGTAATGGTCGATTGTTCTTGTTGACTTAATAATTAGGTTAGTATGTATTATGCTGTTGGAGACATTACAGCAAGTGCAACTGTTATAGTGCTCTTATTCACATATCAGAGTTGTTAATTAAGCTCTTCATTATGAAATGCATTGCATAGAGCAGACGTTTCCAAACTAGGAGCCGTCCAGTAATGGGGTTATTTTCAGGAAATTCAAACAATAAATGCCGTTTTGATGTGTCCTTGTGTTTTTATTAAACTTTAATTTAAACATTTAGATTGTCTCTCATGCCTGCTTATTTTCACCAAGCATTACAGTAATGGTATAATGACATTCTGTTGTTGCACACTACAGTAAGATTGATCGATATTAGACACAGTAAAAATAGTACTCACGGTAAATCAAGAAAACAAGATTCAAACATTTAGACTAACTGTGTTGAGCTGTATAACAATGATTCTGTCGATTAATGTATGCAAACAGTTGCTCGTCTGTCTAATAAAATACATAAGTGTTTCCATTGTTTCTACTAAATAAAACCGGAAATTGAGGGTAACACGGGTATGATGTCATTGAGAGGTGACCCAGATTCGCTCCGTGTCCTGCTTAAGAAATAGCAGAAATAGAGAAATAGCTTATTTCTCTGGATTAAATATTCTTTGAAACATTTGGGATAATATAAGTGCACAAGTCAACACAATTCGGTTGTTAAGTCGTGACGTAATCACGCTCTGATAATACTGTTTCCGGGTCCAAATGCTGGGTCCTCCTCTCTATCTGCTTACCGCTTTTGCCCGAGTTTTAACATGCCGCAGTGCTGTGTCCCATGTTGTTTAAATAGATCGGGGTTAAAAAAAACAAGTGACATTCAACTGTCAGTCTACCGCTTTCCCTGTGACGAGAAAGAAAAGAGAAAATGGCTGCAGTTGATAAGGTAAGTTACAATTCTTTCCTTTATCCCTAACACCCACTGGCGCTGAAGCGAAGCCAGTCCTTTAAGAAAAGGGCTTAGTCTAACGTTATGGGTTGTAACGTTAATTAGATATGGACGAGCGGAGCGCTTGGACCCGGAAGAGGCTAAACGTCACGCGTGACGTCAGACTTAACAACCGAATATATAACATTGTACTAGTGGTTTTTGGTAGCCTGGTAATACCAGACTCTGCTACTTCACTTTGCTTCGTAGACAGAGTCTGGAATGGCATTAGAGAAGTGTTTTCTCTCTCGCAAGGGGGCGCTTCTCTGAAGTTTAAAATCATTGGTTACCCGTAAGCCAATCAGATAAGTTTATTTATGATGTATGTTATGCGCCGACACGGCCGCATCGAGACATTATGCATCGAACTCAAATCTATGATCGAACTTCCACTATAATGAGCGGCGCTTTTGTAAGGGCTGCAAAATGTGTGCCAACCGGGAATGAACAATTCACAAACTAGGTTATTTATATGAACTATTGAGTTGCGGCCGCCCCGCAACGTCGGCGTGACCCGCTCTCACGAGTCATGAATGATTTAGCTTCAGCCGCCCCGCAGCGCCGCGAGGGCGTGACCGAGCCGCTGCTCTCGCGAGTCATGAATAGGGAGTTCATTTTACTGATTCTCTGAGTGATTCGAGTCATTTCCTTTATTTAAGTGGCTTAATGTTATAATTTTAACAGCCAAATTCCCCGATCACATCCACCTACGCAATGTTGATCATATTCTGAATTAAGAAATCATAATGCAGTAAAAAATGATTTACAGGGATCATAAATAATCACTTTACCTTCCGAGTCTTACGTTCATTTGTTACGTGACATACACAATGAACAGATCGTTCATGAATCACAAATCTGGGACTAATGCAGCAGAATGTCGAAACGAAATATGGTGGATTATTATTATGATAATAATAATATGATAATAAGAGCACACCAGGAGCGTTCACAGCCGAGGAGACCGACTGTCATGGCCTTAAAAGACGGAGAACTGACGTTGAATGGGGGTAAGTTATTTCCTTATAGTTATGCATATAGTTATGGCCAAACAGGTCTGATCCGTCATAATTAGCCTGAAAAAATTGGGTAGCCTAAATGCCTAAGCTTGAAGTGTTAATATTTTTCCTTGTTATAATGATTTGCAAAAAAAAAAAAAAAACGGCTGCATCTGTGTTGATGAGAGAATCAAAAGTGTATGCGCGTTGTTCAAGCTACATAATGGCCAAGTATGCTGGTTTTTGCTAGTATACGTTGCAAATAGAGGGGCAGCAAAATAGTTTTTTGCCTAGAGCGGCAGAAGTGCATGCGCCGGTCCTAGCTGTAAACACTGATGATGCGAGCGAAATACCGGAGTGAACATGGCTGTAATTGTAAACGACTTTTGCTTCAGTTTGAAAAACCCCGGAATGTTCTCCATAACAGAGCGAATTGCATCCCGTGTCTTGTTTCCCATTTCTACGGTTGTTTCGGTTTTCGATTTCTCTAACCTACAATGTAAACTCGCCGCTTATGCTGCGTTCCAGGTGTAACCCCTTACACCCGGGTCCTACTCGCCCCGCTCCGAGCGGGCCTCGAACCCGGGTCTCCGGCGTGAGAGTCAGGCGCTCTAACAAGGAGGCTAAAGACTGCAGCCTCTAGCATCTGTCGCTAGAGCGCCTATTGAGATCGGGGAGTGAGGTTTACTCGCACAGCAACTACTAGCTGACCTCCGTTACACTGGCAGGTTTTTGAACATGTAACTCACGACTTCAAACCACGACTTACGACTTTGCAGCATTCCAGGTCATTCACGCCAAACTACCTAGATATAAACAAACCAGCATGGCGGAACACGTATGTAATAATTTCTAACGCCTAAGGTGCTTACTCCTTGTTTATTTGTGGGAAACTGAGGAGGAAAAATAGCGCATGAGGCAAGATAAGCTGTTAAACCTTTTATTTTACTTTATTTGTATATTTGGAAATGTATAGGTATTAATTTATCCTTGCACTCAATGGACTGAAAACTACGTTATATTGTCCTAAAGTGTATTCTCACCAAGTACCGCCTGCAGAAACACTGCATCCGTAGGGGCTGTCATTGTAGTTTTGTATATGTTCGCGGGCTATGTGACGTCAGAACTCGTAACTGGGAGTACATCGGTCTAGTACGAGTTCACGGGTGGGAAGTCACGGGTTTGACTGCCGTTCCAGTGCACTTTCACGAGTATAAGGTTGGAAAAACACAAGTTACAGGTTGCCTGGAACGTGGCATTAGTGTCTACGTCATGGCTCTCAGCCCGCCCTCTGTTCGTTGATTGGCCGGCTGTTTTCAGGCCGGTGGAAAACTAAAAGATAGGCCGCTATCTCAGACTCACTACAGGAGCGAAATGAAATTAGCGGAAGTAGGAAGTCTGACGTAGTCAGGCTAGGTTTTTGGATACTTTAATCCAAATATATTACCTATTGTGCTTTAATTATCTAATTAACTCCAACACTTCTTCAGTGTTACTTTTCTATACAAACACAGAGCAGTGTTAAATGAACACAGAGGATTTTACTGTGTATAGATGTAATAAGATAAATGGTTTAGTAAAGTGTTTACCTAAAGCCAGGATCAGTGTGTCTTCTGAAGTTACGTGGAGGATCCATTGACCAGTCACTCTTCATGGACACACAGCTGGGGTCTGGAGGATCTGGTCTGTGGATTTAGTTAAACACAAATCTTAAATTAATGACTTTTGTATTAACTAATTCGAGTGACTGAATTATTGGAGACTTTACAGCAAGTGCACATCCACAAATATGAGCAGTTGATTAAGATCTTTTATTTAATAACGTCCGAATTGCATTGCATGCAGTCACTTTAGTGCCTTAACAGCATTAATAATGTATATATTTAAGTAAAAACACTGTTTATTGCAGCATGAAATCCAGCAGTATTATGACAATCAGTTAGTTTTTAACAAACATGAGCAGAAAACAATTTTTTTAAATAACACGCAGACCGACACAGACATAAATAATCTGTACATGAACCTCAACAAGGATGACAATCAAAAATGGCATGCTGCAATGCATGCTGAGTACAAGCATAGTACAAAAATCCCAGCATGCACAGCAGCATGAATAAATGGCTGTGTTTATACTTCATTAAAATGTGATCACCGTGATCCGATCAAGCAGATCGGATCATAAGCCAATCAGGACACGGTGTGTATATACCTGTCCACATCAAGTGGTGTCTGTATCTGGATAAAATTTCGGATCTCGCATTCCCATCAGCGGCCCCATAACCGCCTTGAGCTGAAGAAACCCTTCGAATCGCTCCTGACCCACAGGTCAGGAAAAGGAGAGCTTCTTTCGATCTACGAGGTTGGGTCAGACCGCGCAAGCATTTCTGCCCACCTCCCCGTCGGTCTCCTTTTCTAAACCGGCCACTTTCGCCACCCTGCGTGTCCCGAAGTGCAGCCACTCAAAAGTATCCAAACCGTCTAGAGCAGGAGGAAGGAGACGCGCTCACCTTTCTCCCCTCCCTCTCGACTCAACCGATTCCTTTCGCTCGCGCAGGAGACACTTTCGTTTTCTCTCAGCAGCAGACGGACCCGTTGGTCTTAGCCAATCGGGCAGTGGTGCTACCCTCTACGTGTCAGGATGTCAACTGCCTTCCTTCACGTTGGATCGCTCCGCCCCTCGGGAGCCAACACATCACCCCATTTCAGGTATGTCCACCGCCTTGCACCACTCCACCTCCTCTCTCTCAGTTCTTTCCAGTTTGGGAGTGTCTACCAGGGGTGTCGCCCTGGGTCCTTCGCACAATTCGGCTCGGCTACATGCTTCAGTTCTGTCGCCCGCCCCCTTGCTTCAACGGGGTCTGCCCTACTGTAGTCAACAGCGCCTCAGAGGCTCCTGTTCTACAGCAGGAAATTTCCTCCCTTTTACTCAAAGGAGCCATAGAGGAGATTCCTTCGGAGAAGATCGAGCAGGGCCTCTTCAGTCGTTACTTCCTGGTCCCCAAAAAGGGCGGAGGTCTGCGTCCAATACCGGACCTGTGCCGAATGAATTTTTGTCTCTACAAAGGGAAATTCAAGATGTTGACGCTCAAAGCTATCATCTCTCAAAATTGAGCAGGGGACTGGTTTGTGACTGGTTATAGACCTGAAGGATGCATATTTTCATATTCAGGTAGTGCGACGACACAGGAGGTTTCTCAGGTTCTCCTTTGGGGCGAAGGCATTCCAGTACAAGGTCCTTCCCTTTGGCCTTGCCCTAGCTCCACGAACTTTCACAAAGTGTATGGATGCTAAATCATGAACTGATTTACAGCAAGTGCATATCCACATGGTGACTTTACAGCAAGTGCATATCCACATATTTGAGTAATTGATTAAGATATTTTATTTCATACCGTCTTGCATTCTATACAGTCACTTTAGCTCATCTACAACATTAATAATGAACAATTTCTAAGTTTCAATACAGATGTAATGAGATAAATGGTTAAGTAAAGTGTTTACCTAAAGCCAGGATCAGTGTGTCCGCTGAAGTTACGTGGAGGATCCATTGACCGGTCACTCTTCATGGACACACAGCTGGGGTCTTGAGGATCTGGTCTGGTTAGTGAAATGAACAGAAGTGAATGTAATTTACAGTGCATATGCGAGTGCATATATGCGAGTAATTGATTAAGATATTTTATTTAATACCATCTCGCATTCTATACATACAGTCACTTTAGCTCATCTACAGCATTAATAATGAACAATTTTCTTAGTTTCAACACAGATGTAATAAGATAATTGGTTTAGTAAAGAGTTTACATAAACCCAGGATTAGTGTGTCCGCTGAAGTTACGTGGAGGATCCATTGACCGGTCACTCTTCATGGACACACAGCTGGATTCATATGACTGTGATCTTTGCATCTTAAATGAACTGAAACAAAACATGAAGGGAATTTAGAATATTTATGCTGAATTAATTACCACCAGTCATTCTCAGAAAATTACGAAATAAAGCCATGTGACTGAAAATCATATTTTACCAACTTTTAATTCTTAAACTAAAAGGCCAAATCCTTATACCCTTGTATTTAGGATTAGGCCTTTTAGGTTAAGAATTCAAAGTTGGTAAAATATGGTTTGGTTGTGGTGGAAACACACAACTTTAATGTCCCTCAGTACGGGTACTTTCAATGCATGCCAACTCTTTACATGGCAACATTTTGAGCATAAATGGCAAAAAAATGGCCTAAACTCGCGAATCCAATCTCGCTGCACCTCATTATCAGGTGTCCGTTCAGGCAAGTCATGCCACTCGGAGGCAACGCCTCCGGGCAGCTATTTTGGACTTAACAAGATCAGGGTCCTATCTAAATGAATGGGCAGAGAGTCAGAACTGCACTTTCACTGGTCACTCACTGGAAATAAAAACTGCATGTATAGAAACAGCAGTAAAATATGATAAAAATCGCTGAAAAAGTTTGATGACTTTGCCCCAAAATAAGGTTTAAAACGCTGTTTTCCCACAGGTTATACTTTTACTGCCCTTGCGCAAGGGTTCTCTCGCTCTGTCGCGTGAGCGCTGCAGAGTTTGAAACACAGTATGTGCGCGCACTCTTGCTCTGTCGCTCTAGATTCCGAGAGATTTTAACTAATTTGCGGGCATCAACGAGCCTCTATCAATCTGCGAGAGACACCCGGAACTTCTGGGAGACTTGGGATATCTGATATTTACACAACGCACACATACACTGCATATCAAATCTGCCGCTTTTTCAAACAGTAACGTATTTAAATGTTTACCAGCTTGACCATTAAAAGCAGATGATTGGCTGTCCAGCGGGAGGGGCGGGGCATTTGATTACAACCGCCATCTTTGGTGTTACGGTTTTTCCAGAGCCCGTCTAACGGAGAGCCTTGGCACTTCCTATTAGCCCCGTTGTGTATCATCTTCGTTGCAGTTCCATTAGAATTCCACTGGAGGTGATCGCGGGCGAGTGCAGAATGAATGGGATTCTATGGGGCTAAACTGCTAAATGTGTCTCTTTCACCTGCTTGTCGTTAAATCAAAATAGATTTTATTGTTGATTCCACAAGTTCAATATAGATTATAGGCCAAAAGTCGAATGAACGAGTACTTATGTCCTTTTGATTTCTTACAGGTTAGGCTGTTGTTGGCTAGCCTGGTAATACCAGACTCTGCTACTTCACTTTGCTTCGTAGACAGAGTCTGGAATGGCATAATAGAGAAGTGTTTTCTCTCTCGCAAGGGGGCGCTTCTCTGAAGTTTAAAATCATTGGTTACCCGTAAGCCAATCAGTTAAGTTTATTTATGATGTATGTTATGCGCCGACATGGCCGCATCGAGACATTATGCATCGAACTCAAATCTATGATCGAACTTCCACTGTAAACAGGGAGCGGCGCTTTTGTAAGGGCTGCAAAATGTGTGCCAACCGGGAATGAACAATTCACAAACTAGGTTATTTATATGAACTATTGAGTTGCGGCCCGCCCGCAACGTCGGCGTGACCCGCTCTCACGAGTCATGAATGATTTAGCTTCCGCCGCCCCGCAGCGCCGCGAGGGCGTGACCGAGCCGCTGCTCTCGCGAGTCATGAATAGGAAGTTCATTTTACTGATTTTCTGAGTCATTCGAGTCATTTCGTAAGTGGCTTAATGTTATAATTTCCCAGATAGCAAACTGACATTGAATCAACGTGGAAACATGACATCGAAACAACGTTGATCTGACATTGTTTTGCTCATCGAATTAACGTTGAACCAACGTCAGACGCGTCATTCTTTCAAAACTAACGGAAAATCAACTTGAAATCAACGTTTTTTCAACGTTATGAAAGCAAACCAATTTTCGATTTTCATTTAGCTTTGAAGAATGCCGCGTCTGACATTGGTTCAACGTTAATTCGATGAGCAAAATCAACGTTGTTTCGATGTCATGAGAGACGTCGTTTCCACGTTGATTCAATGTCAGTTTGCTGTCTGGGTTTAACAGCCAAATTCCCCGATCACATCCACCTATGCAATGTTAATCATATTCTGAATTAAGAAATCATAATGCAGTAAAAAAAAAATATTTACAGGGAACATAAATAATCACTTTACCTTCCGAGTCTTACGTTTATTTGTCACATGACATACACAATGAACAGATCGTTCATGAATCGCATATCTGGGACTAATGCAGCAGGATGTCGAAACGAAATATGGTGGATTATTATTATGATAATAATAATATGATAATAAGAGCACACCAGGACCGTTCACAGCCGAGGAGACCGACTTTCTTGTCATGGCCGTAAAAGACGGAGCACTGACATTGAATGGGGGTAAGTTATGTCCTTATAGTTATGCATATAGTTATGGCCAAACAGGTCTGATCCGTCATAATTAGCCTGAAAAAATTGGGTAGCCTAAATGCCTAAGCTTTAAGTGTTAAAGTAACACCAGGTAACTTTTCAACCTTCATAATATATTTCCAAGTCGCTTGTGATGGTACATTGTCTTACAATAGGTTGAATGACACGTCTGCCATAGCCCGACGGGGTCTGTAGCGTTTTTAATTGTACTTTTAAACTTCGGGTTTCGGGTAGTAACCCCGCGAACAAAGAGTACTACAAAATTCGACTGCTGTACGGCATATACGTCACTTCCACCACCACCCCCACTTCCTTAAAATCGGACGTGCGAGCCAAATGTTATATTCATGGCCGAAGCAGCACAGAAAAACAAGAAAGCAAAGGTTTTATCGGGCGAAAGCAAAAAGAGAAACGTGATCGTGTTAAAGGCAGAACGAGGTTTAACTTTGGGCCAGTGTTTTCTGGCGTGAGCTGAAGGAGGAGGACGGGGGCGAACCGATGCGTAACGTTACTTGGCTGTCATGCTGGACTAGTAAGTACATTATATTGCTTGCATAGCCTATCTCTATTCTTTGTTTTTTTTGTCTGCCTTACTATGAAAGCTATCCTATCCTCCGTTTATCTTCAAAATAAAGTTAGCTAGTGTTTTAACTTCTAAATGGCGTGTACAAGTTTGGTAGGGGCTACATTCTTGCAAGGAAATATATAAGATGTACAAAATCCTATTTTTGGATACCTATTAACATGTCTGTGATATTCGTTTATTTTCCTTTCCTCAAGCTGTTATGCAAACCGATTTTGCTGATTCATTTATGGTAGCTTGATATTATAATATTGACGATATATGGTTATTATCTACCACTCAAACATTGCGTTGAAGTATCATATAGATTCAGTAAAACGGTAACCAACAGACTAGGCTACTATAATGACGCTGGCTTGTAAACGTGAGCATCGCGATCATTTGTCGTTAGAAAAAAATAAAACCCATGAAATGATATTCATATGACATGCTGAAATATATGCCACTGTACCTGGGATGAAGACATTTCACACTCGACGCAAGCAGAACACCTGCATGTGACGTCCTCCTATACAGTGTTCAGGGCTATTATGGTTGTTGTCAACAAATGCGCGTGCATGTGGGATAACAGAGTTTACGACAGTAGTAGAGGACAATACTGTTTCCCAACTGTAAGGGGACCCCGAGAACAAAAGTAACCTGGTGTTGCTTTAATATTTTTCCTTGTTATAATGATTTGCAAAAATAAAAATGGCTGCATCTGAGTTGATGAGAGAATCAAAAGTGTATGCGCGTTGTTCAAGCTACATAATGGCCAAGTATGCTGGTTTTTGCTGGTATACGTTGCAAATAGAGGGGCAGCAAAATTGTTTTTTGCCTAGAGCGGCAGAAGTGCACACGCCGGTCCTAGCTGTAAACACTGATGATGCGAGCGAAATACCGGAGTGAACATGGCTGTAAACGACCTTTGCTTCAGTTTGAAAAACCCCGGAATGTTCTCCATAACAGAGCGAATTGCATCCCGTGTCTTGTTTCCCATTTCTACGGTTGTTTCGGTTTTCGATTTCTCTAACCTACAATGTAAACTCGGCGCTTAGCGTCTACGTCACGGCTCTCAGCCCGCCCTCTGTTCGTTGATTGGCCGGCTGTTTTCAGGCCGGTGGAAAACTGAAAGATAGGCCGCTATCTCAGACTCACTACAGGAGCGAAATGAAATTAGCAGAAGTAGGAAGTCTGACATGGTCAGGCTAGTTGTTGGCCGGAACACACTAGCATTCTGCTATTGTGTGACGTCATCACATTTTTGAACGGATTTTTAGAACAGATAAGTGAACTTAAAACTGCAATTTTCAGCTGAGTGTATTATCTTAGCCCTCCCTTTTGAATGAAACTTTCAAATTACTTGACAAAAAATGACATCCTGAGAAAAGTGGATTTCTGGGGGTGAAACCCCATTGACTCCCATTCATTCTGCACTCGACCGCGAGCGCCCCCGCATGGACAGAGACGCGTTACTGCAGCCAGTCCAGAAACCGGAAGTAACCAGCCAGTGCCAATTCTCTTCAATTAGACATTCTCTGGTTTTTCCCTATACATTTGTATTAAGGATTGAGGAAGTGACATGTCTCTATATAAATAGTCTCTGTCATTATTCTTGTGCTTTGTGCCAGAAGAAAAACTCGAGAGACAGTTTTATATTGTGCTGACATCACATTAAACAAAATTATGTCCAAAAGACGTCTTTTCAACGCAGGCTACGCTTTTGTGACAATTTGACAAAGACATTAAAAATATGTCGTTTGAACAGTTTTGCTAAGTGGGATATAAGGGAAATTAAACTCTTTGAATCTTCTGTAGGCCTATATGACGTCCTACATATTTGAATACAAACGTCGAACATTGTTTTAAAAAGGTATTGTATCACTACAAATTGTATCACTCTATCTTTACTAACACAATGTATTGGCGTTCTGAAATTCATTAGTCTACTTTAGTTCACTAGTCTAAACAATAAAATGTATTTAGATGTAGCCTATATTATAAAATTAATCGAAAATCAGGAAGGCCTATAGTTAGCGAAACAAAATGGCCCTAGAGTGGAGGCACAGCGCTACAGGCTAGTTTACAAAAACACAAAAATAAAATGTAAGCAACTGTATCGAGACTCACCTGTTTGAAAATGTATCCGTCTCAAATCCTACTGATCATATTGTTACATTGAGAAAATCTAAATGATTTTTGATGTTTTCATAAAAAGGCTGCATATGCCGATGGATTTTACTTTCACTTTGATGACTCCGCCTCTCAGGTGTGCAGGAAATGGGCGTCGTTTTTCAGGTTCCTTAAGGAGGAGGCGAGTATGTTCCCCTATTATATTAAAGAGAGCTGACGAAGAGATTCCCCTGAATGGTCCAATTGTTCTATTTTCGAAAATTTGTGCGTCAAACTACTCTTAGAGGAAGATTGAAATGTCATTATAACAAAAGACGACAAATATGGAAACAACAAACTGCATTTGTCCTGCTGGAGTTTGCTGTCCTCTGCAGGTCAGATCAGGAATCACAAGCAGGAACAAGCGTTCATCTAAACAGTGCAAAAAATACATACAATATTATCTAAGAACATCCACAAATTCTATGAATATCCCAATCAGCTTGAACCTCAACACCAGCATGAAAGGGAATAATATTTGAATAGATCTTCCAAAAAAAATATTTAATTCATATACATAAGTCATTTAATAGAACTTGCGCACGCGCGCAAATAGACACACACACACACACACACGGCTGGTTCGCTATCTTTGTGAACACTCTCCATAGGCGTAATGATTTGTATTCTGTCCAAACTGTAGGCTATATTAGTATATCCCTTTACACTAACCCTACCATTCAGTTTTGATGAGAACGTCTCATTAACCCCAAATTCAACATCCTTTATCCAAATACACATATCATCATGGGGCATTACTGCTGACACATTTAGTTCAAATGACATTATTATATGATATGAAGCCGACACAGCAGTGTCTTCATTTTTAAGAGTCAATTAATCAGAGAGACTCTTCACTCTCGCATGTACCAGATTATTCCCATTGAGATTGTCTCAGGTGTGAGGAGTTTGATCTCATAAATTAGGAAATGAGAAGCAATATATCAGATGACACAATAAGTAAAAAGAGTTTTGTGTTATTCATGGCAGAAGTCATAAATTGGAAGAAAAAACAGATATGATATGTGTTGTAATATGTGTGGAGGAAGTGTGATTGATAGGGTGATTGAAGAATTAATGGATGAGATGAATGTGATCTGTCTGAATGAGAGGAGAGGTACACGAATAGACATGAGAACGGGTCAAGAAGCAGTGTTAGATCTATCTCAAATAGTAGGTTAGGAGGAATAATTAACTTTAAGGTATTACGGAAAATGTACTATAGGCAGTGAACACTTTTTCCTATTTTGATAGAAATGTGTATAAATAAGAGTGTAGAGAGAAATGAAAGAAGAGAAGGAAAACGGATATCTGAGAAAGCTAACTGGACTTAGTATGTGAAAATGGTGAAGGATAGTTTAGACAAATGATGTAAGAAATGGTGATGACAAAGAAGCTATATAAGAGAAAATAATAGGAGTCATGAAAAATGCAGCAGTATTATTAAAAACAAAGGAAAAAGAAAGATTAAAATGGTACCATGGTGGAATATGGAGTGTGATGAAGCTTAGAAGGAAAAGGAGAGAGTATAAGAAGGAAAGAAGAAGGCATAATATATCAAGAATGGAATATAAGAGAGACAGGCACAAGTAAAAGTTTTGTTAAAGGCAAAAAGACAACATTGGAGAGATTTCTGTGACAGAAAGGGAAAAGTACATCAATAGAAGAGGAATGGAATAAGGAAGGAGAAATAATATCCCGTGTTAAATGACTGGAAAGTTATGGCAGTAGAAAACAGTGATAAAGCAGAAATGTTTTGTAATGCATTTATAAAAGTAAACAATACGAGAAATCTGAATGAAGAATTTAAGAGAAAAAGGGAGGAAATATTAAAAGAACATCCTCATCGACTAGAAAAAAGAGAATATAAAGAGATAAACAATAGATGTCCCATTTGTTATGACGGATCTAAAACGAGCACTGAGGAGAATAAGTGAAACTACTCCTGGTCAAGATGAAATCAGCTGTTATAAGATTAAACAGTGAAGCGAGGAATCGCCGGACGTAATGTTAGAGTTCTATAATAAAGTTTGGGAAATGGGGGTACTACCACAAAGTTGGAAAGAGGCACTGGTGTTCCCAGTCAGGAAAACCCGGGAAGGATTCAAGCAAGCCAGCTAATTTTAGACCAATAGCTGTGATATCTGGTGTAGGGAAAGTGAGAATGATAACGGACTGACTAATGTATTTTGGGGGAAAAGAAGAAAAATTCTCACCTTATCAAAGTGGATTTAGGCTAGGAAGAGGAACTATGGATCCGTTTTTTGTGTTTGCAAGCTGAAATAAAGAAGCTCTATCAAATAAAGAATCAGTAATTGCAGTGTTTTCCGATATAGAAAAAGCAAATGACGTAATTGAGAGAGGGTCTGATGATAAAGCTGGAGAAGATGGGGATAAGGGGATAGGAGGAAGAATGGAGGATTAGTGACTTCCTTAAACAAAGAACAATGAGAATAGGAGACTCTATGTGACCCTGGACCACAAAAACAGTCACAAGGTTTTTTTTTTTTTAAATTTTTTTAAATGGAGATTTATACATCATATATGTAAGTTAAATAAATAAGCTTTCCATTGATAGGCTATATGGTTTGTTAGGATATAGGCTAATATATATATATATATATATTTTTTTGGATATATTTATGGTAGGAAATTGACCAAATATCTTCATGGAACACGATTTTTAGCATAAAAGAAAAAATTGATAATTTTGACCCGTACAATGTAGCCTAGTTGGTTATCGCCACAATTATACACATGCGAATTATGACTGGTTTTGTGGTCCAGTTTGTGGCGCTGTTAGCCCACATGTTGTTACCTGTAAAAGGTGAGTAACAATAGAAGTTGTTGCACCTGTGCCTATCATGCGACTGCCTGGCAGTGTAGTATTGCTTGTGGGTTTGAATAAACCTTGAAGAAGTGACACACTTTCTTGTCTTCTTGATTACCTGGACGTTGACATAACGGAAATGCTAAATAGATTTAAAGCAATTTGTGTTCACAGCAATTTATGCTTAGGCCTATAGCAATTTACACTCTTAGAAAAAAGGGTTAATTGGGGTTCTATATATGAAGCATAGCATAGGGTTCTACTCAACTCCAAAGAACCAACATTTTGTAGTTGTTGTTATTAGATTATTGTTTATTAAACTGTTGTAGTAATTTAATATCACATTTTAATCATGCAGATTTTTGGAGGATAAAAACTGAAATGGCACTCTTCGTGTGATATTGATTAACTTCATAAAATTATATAAATATATACATTTTCTAACCCCACTATCTTGAATTGTGTAATCATTCACATGCATTCATAAATTTTAGGGTCTTGATGTTTGTCCATAATATGAAATATTTAATCCGGAAAGGACAAAACATGATAATGAATGAACCCAAAAGGTTCCATATAGAACCTTTTTCCTGGTTACAAATTGAACCTTTAAAAGGGTTCTGTATAGAACTTTTTAGGGGTTCCAAATATAGCGCTGATAGAACCTTTTAAGGTTTTACATAGAACCTTTTCTTCTAAGAGTTTATGTTCATCTTTAATGTTTTGCTTCAGGAAGCTGATGTTATATAATGGAAAAGTAGCCTACATCTTACTAATGCAGAGTCAAATACTCGATCTTCTGTTGGGAAATGATTTAATCAATTTGGAATCGGGACAGACTGTACGAAAAATAATGCTCGAAGATTTTAATAATTTTTAACAATCACCTAATTTTAAAGCTGATAACTTTTAAAGATTTAGATTGCCTAGGGCTATGATATAATTATGAACAATAATGAATTTTTATATATAATAATATAATATAATAATGAAGTAACTGAGTTTTCTCTATCTCTTTTTCGCATGTTTGCACCATAGTGTGCCGTGGCATCACTGACGTCAATGAAGCACACCTTTCTCAGTGACACCCACGCACACGCGCATACACCAGAGTAAAAGAGGCATACACACACACACACACACACACACACACACACACACACACACACACACACACACACACACACACACACACACACACACACACACACACACACACACACACACACACACACACACACACACACACACACACACACACACACACAAAGGAGTGCTATCATTGGCTTGAAGAGACTTTGAGGCGGGATCAATCTTCTATCCCAGTCCTCTCATTGGTCAGATTGGTACAGTATGTGACGAGTCAGAGCGTTAAACTTTTCTGTCCGTTCCGCTCGCCTGACACAGACAGACACACACAGTCAGGCTGTTTACTACAGCATTCTGCTGCTTTACACAGAGCGATTCCAAAGATACAACATGCAAACGACACAAAGACACTAGTTCAGAGAGAAAAGGTGAGTAGATGTCTGCATAATTGTGTCGTTAATATTTATTTATTTTTTTTTTCTTAGAGAGCAGCAAAGCAGAACCGATTTCCCACCTAGAAATACGGTTAACGCGATTGTGCGCTTTGTGATCCTTCATGTCGTCACGCACGAGCGAGCGTTTAATCTTTAACATATGCTTTGTTATTTGCTATAATTTTTGTCGATGTGTTTTCATTGGCGCTTTTGTTGTCTGTCCTCGCGCAGCTGTCACTGCGGATGTTCGTGCGCTCGTGCGTCACTGTAATGTCGTCACGTGACTCATCGTCGTACTGCAAACTTCAACCGGCTTTGTGATTGTGGATCGAAGCAAATCAACCAAACCAGTTATCTAATCGTACATTTAATCATTAATTTCCAGAGACATTTGAGAAACGAATCCAGAAGGTATCCAAACGATATTTACCTGTAACATACCGTTTGAGCCTTCTCTAAGTTCGTTTACATTTTAGATGACGTCGGGTGAGGTAACATCATCGTTTTTTTTCATCGAGTCCTTTTCTGCCAAGAAGACCAAATTATCACAAGCTAATCAGACATTCCTGTTTATCTCTGAACATCACATGCATCCCACAATGCAGTGCACTCAAACTAACCTTGCATTTCCAGTGTGATGAATGAACTGGAAGTAATATGGACCGTGACTTGATGGGACTGCCAATTTAGCGCTGCATTATGCAAAATGT